TTTTTTTTTATAATAATCACCCATAGTCTGTCCACTGCTGGATGAACTTTTCCCCAAAGTCGTCGACGTCCCTCACAGTCCTGCGACGTGGCGACCTAACAACGCGCTCCCGCACGCGAGCCGATGGCTCCGTCTCTGTGCTGGGGTCTTCCCCTCGGCAGAGTTCCCACCTTTGGCTGTCGTTCCATCTCCAGTCTCGGCCCTCGTCGGCTGTGCCCTGCCCAAGTAATGAATGTTCGTTTTTGTTATTTAGGCCTCGGTTTGTGAGCGCTTGGACGACTGCATTGATTTACACGGATTCGGTTTGACTCGGTTTGGTCTACAAATAATCGGCACTAAGGTAACTTTATTCCACCGGTCTTCTACAGAATCGGGTCGATTGTTCTTGTCCACGGGTCACAGGAGACATCGAGACAACCGAAGGTGCCAAAACTTTAGTTGTACCGATGTATTTATACGGCTGAGAGTGAATCACTTGATAACCTCTCTTATTTAAAATGGATATCACGTGATTCACTGTTGTTGATTTTTGTGTTGAGTTTGTCCTTCCTTCCAGCAACCTCCGATTAGCACCGTTGGCTCCGTGCGGTGCGAAAAAAGTTCACACGTACAATCGTCATTGCTATTGCTCTAACTTGCGGTTGGGTCTCCGGTAATTTTACTTGATCTCATTTCTGCCTCTAATCGCAATTCGAAAACGAGTTAGGCCATTGTGTGCTGGCGTGGAGCCACGGTTCAAAAAGCCCCTGGCTCTCGTATAAACATAATATTATAGTGTAAACAAAAACTTTGCTCTTTTTCACCAATGTTTTTAAGGATGGTGGCAAGTGTTGTCTTATTAAACTATGCCTTTAAAACTGAAAACGACTTACCTGCAGTACCTTTATTTAAATACACTGTCCAAAAAATAATTTACACCCCTGTCAATCATCGTGTGAACACACTTTGTAAACAGTACACAACATAGTACACGTTTTCAATGCGCTGTTCATATTGTAACAAGCGTTTATACCAATGTTACTCTACAGAGTAGTGGGTCGCCGCTCCTCTTGTCCGCATTGACACGAGCGGTCAGTGTCCTCCTCGTCGCTCTTCTTCTTCTACCGCTGCCACCGCGAGTTGTCCCCGTGAGTGTCGCTCGCTGGTGCCTCCACTCGTGGTGACGCCGCCGTCTACCAGGCCGACCAGAGCCGGGTTATCCGAGTAGCAGAGGTAGCTACTACATATGTGGTAGCTACTACATATGTGTACCACATATGTAGTAGCTACATGTGTAGTAGCTACGGGCCCCGCACTTTCAAGGGGCCTGCGCTAAATGCTTTCAAGCTATAAATTCCGGTTCAGTGATTCTGCACTTGCGTTATTACTATAGTACTATACCGCCTTCAACTTTTATGAACGACTGGGTGTTTACACAGTTAGCGATTTGTCGTATTATCTGGCTTTATAGCAAATGAAAAAGATACAATTACTTTACTATGCAAGTTAACAATTTGTGTTTGAATAATTAGGTGTTTTTTTTTATTTAGGGCCCTTTTATAACAAATCCTACAGGCCCCGCACTCGCTTCATCCGGCACTGCCGGCAACCTATCCATTTGGGATGACACGAAGCGACATCGTCCCCCTGCCTGTGACAACCGATACAGACTTGTGGGGCGATAATAAGGGCGCAGAGGCCCACGTGGGTTCTCCGTGGTAGTTCTCTCTCTCGACGTGACCCATCGCGCGGTAGAAACTCCTTCGTCGCCCTCTGAAATGGCCGACAATCGTCGGTCAAATGTGGCGAGCAACGTTGGGCCGAGACGAACAACACGAAAGTCACCAACACCTTCGAGTGCCGCCCAAGGGAGAATAAATGAATGAAAGATGAAACTTTTTTTTTTTAAGGGGGCACGACCGCAACCCCGCGGCAACTCATTAACCATTTACGTCTCGTCAGCACAGCCCCGTATAAACCTATACTCTTTGGTTCCTTCGGTAAAGTCGCGTAGGTATAAATAAAATAAAATAAACCTGTCGTTGTCGCGGGTGGGATGTGCGCGTGTGGCCAATGGGGCACGGCGAGCAGCGGTCGCTGCGGGCACTGAACTGCCCCTAAAACAGCGCGCCCATTGCTTCACCTGGCGCCGCGTGGAATGCCACCCGACCTGACCGTGGTGGCTCCGGGTGTCGTCAGCAAAACGAAGCAACACTCAAACCGCCTGACGCATTCATTCTAGATTTGAAGCTTTCGTGACTGCAAGGATTCATACTCTTAGTTTTTTCGGTAAAGTCACGTAGGTAGAAAAGATGAAATTAAAATGAATAAAAATAAAATAATAAAAATCACGACGTTTCGGAGGCAACACAAGTCTCCCCGTCATCAGGTGGGACCGTCACAGCCAGATTTGCTGTATCAAGTGACGCAGGGATTACATCTTGGAATCCATCATGGAATCCCAGCCTCACTTGATACAGCAAATCTGGCTGTGACGGTCCCACCTGATGACGGAGACTTGTGTTGCCTCCGAAACGTCGTGATTTTTATTATTTTATTTTTATTAATTTTAATTTCATTTTTTTCCGCCTGACGCACCCAACCTGTCAGCCAAGCCTCGACCAGCCAGTCGGACTCTAAGCTGTCACCCCCACTCGGTTTAGAACCCCGTGTTCTTACACAGGGAGATTTGAGTTTTCAGGTCCATACGGCGTAAGTCGTTTCAATACGGGCAATTTCTTTAATCTATTTGTGTTGCTCAGTATGCACGTTGAGATGTGTAAGGGGCACGTGGTGACCAGTAAGGTCTGGATTGTTCTGCAGTAAGGGGTAGGGTACTGAGATAAGGGGTTGACAGGCATGCGGACAACGTGGTGTTACAGGCTATAAACATGTTCGAGTGCATGTTGTTATACTCGACATCGCATTATGTATTCTAAATTACAATGTGTCGATCAGTGGTTCTTAACCGGGGGGTCCAGGCACGCTCTGGGGGTGCAAGACACGGCCAGAAAGTAAATCATCCAAACACAATTTTAAGCACGGGCACATGAGCACAACAACTCTGTTTCGTCAATCCCCATTGTATTTATTAACATTGGTTCTCAATCGTATAACACATTATTGGGGTGCAAGGCTGCAGTAAATGTTAAGAACCACTTGTAGAGACTTCCACAATACATTAACTTTAAAAAAGCTACGCCGCAAACGAGACAGGGCAGTGCGGACGAGACGGCGAGACAAAATAGAGCAGCACATACGACGGTACAAATTAGAACTTTCACAATAATATGAGATTTGTACAAATGAAATATAATTGACAAGCGAGACAGTACAAATATGACAGAAGTACACAGGGAGAGTACAGGCCAGAGTACAAACTGGATTAAAACGAGAGTGGACATCTGTGAAAAGCTTTATAGCTCATCGGATTCCTCCAGTATGAATACATATTCTGAATGAGACAGTACTGTACAAGCCATACAAGACAAACGAGGTGGCATTTACAAAACATCAACGAGACAGGCAATCCCAACAAGATGCGCAGCACAAACTACAGAGTGCACATCGGAAAATACACACGAGACAACTTACAAAACAGTACACGCGACACAGTACAACTAATGGACAGGACACAGACACACACGCCCCTGTAATGAAGTATAGTCCGCGCCAGGCAGGTGTAACACATGAGACAGCACAGAGAGAGAGAGACAGCATGCACCAGACAAACGATACAAACGAGGCAGCAGGCCTACACACGGGCAGCACAAACGAGGCAGCGCTGTGGACAGGGCGGGGACGAGAAGGGAAGTGCGTACGTGACCAGGGGCACGGCACGGCGCAGCAGCAGTAGCAACGATCCACGTCACCTGAGCGTCACGTTAAGCAATATCACCCGTGTGTTGCTGCAGCTGGGCAAGCTGGCGACAATGAGTCCTCACCTGGCCACGGGCACAGGGATATGGGCAAGACACGCGGGATGGATGATCTATCGGCAACCGTCGACTTTTTGACAGCAAGCGACATCGATGTCAGATCTGTCATGGGTGTCGATCCCTTCGATGAGATTCGGACCATCGAAGTGTTCCGTTCCAACGTTTCGATTTCCGCGGTGGTGTTGGTGTTTAAGGTCTTAGATGGAAATAAAAACCGGGCCCTCTCCAAACGTGGTCGCTCGGCGTCTCTGCCACGGTTCGGGTTAAAGGTCACGCCGTTGCCTTCGGATATTCCGCGTACACCATTCCGTGTACCGACATGTTTAGATGGAAGACTTCATGCAGCGGTTGAGTGTTGACACTTCAACAACCGCCTCCATTTTAATTGTTACTCTCGGCTCGCTTGACATCAACCATTTTCTATGACGACAAACATTTCTCTTTACTGTAAATAGTTCATAAAACAAAACATTTTTAATATTCTGGTTTACTGTACAATACGTGGAAGTTGTCACTCAAAACACGGAGTGTTTGACGTGCCGCACACACGTAAGCACCCGAACCGCGGATCTCTCCTCACCCCTTGCTCGCATTTTTCCGTTCCTTTTCTATAATTTCCCGTTCTTTATCCGCTCTCTTCCCCTTCCCAGTCTTATTTCTCTATTCCTTGCATTACGTCTTCGACTCGACTCCCCTTCCCGTGGTGTTGCCGCAGGTACAAAGTTGCTGATATCCGCTCTTCTGCGCCTCATGATGATGCGAAATAAATCATCAGCAGTCGATAGACCATGGATCCCAGAGCGCTCTGTGCCAACTCATGGCGACTCAGCTCGTGGAAGCGAAGATTCCAGAGATGCCCGAGTTGTCAGTGTGAAAGCAGATCGTAAGTTACGCGATCCCTACGTCCACTCGACACCACGGTGGTATCATCTCGCCTCAGCAGCACGGCAAGCGCGATGATGCGTCACCCATCGCAGATTAATATTTCACGTCCCGTGTCCAGGCGACGAACGTCCACGGCGGGGAAGGAGGCAGCCGTCCGGCCAATGGCGAGCGCCGTCCGTCTTTAAAAGTCGCAGCTTCTCCTCCACCGCTCACAGTCTCTGGAGCTCACACAGGACGCGGTTCTTGCTTCAACAGTGCTTGAACAGAACTCACCCCCTGTGTCTTCTCACTTAACTCTCAAACGTTACCAACTACCACAACACCAACTACAACATGACGTCCCAGATCCGTCAGAACTTCAGCCAGGAGGTGGAGGCAGCCATCAACCGCCAGGTCAACCAGGAGCTCTACGCCTCCTACGTCTACCTGTCCCTGGTGAGTGCCGCTGCCTCGAGGCCATCGGGCCCGCACGTCACCACCATCATCACCATCATCGGTCATACTCTTAGGTTTTTTCCGTAAAGTCACTTTGGTAAAAATAAAAAATAATATTAATTCTATTATTTTTATTATGTATTTTTTATTTTTACCGACGTGACTTTACGGATAAAACCTAAGAGTATGAATCCTTGCAGTCACGAAAGCTTCAAATCTAGAATCATCGGTCATGTTCGATCCACGGCTGGATGAAGGCCTCCCCAGGCCGTTGCTGCATCTCTCACGAGATGCAGCAACAGATGCGACGAGGCCGGCTCGTGCGCAGGTGCGAGGCAGCACCTGCGCACGCGCCGCCTTCACCGCTCCGTCTCCAGCGTGGACGTCCTCCGAGACGCGTCCCCCCTCGCTACTTTGGCTGCCTCTCCGTCGTTACTCTCCACCGCCGTCCATCGTCCCATCTCGCGCCCTGCCCTCGAAGCCCTCGAAGCCCTCGTGTCCCAGCAGCCAGTTCGACGCCTCTGGCTGGTGCACGTTCTCTCATCCGCGCGTTCCTCTTTCTGAGTCGCTGGCGTTCCAAGCATGACCATCCCCATGCTCATTTCGAGATTCTGTTCCAGTTTCCCTGTCACTGTGAAAGTTTCTGTTCCATGTTGGGAGCATGTGATACGTACTGTGCCGATGAAAAACAAACTTCTTCTGGCACACTGCCATGCAGGCTCTGCACTATTCAGCTCGGTTTCGCAGAGGTCATTAAAAACATCTCTGTTGTGCGTTCTGCCAAGCGGCTCCACGTTGCGCTATCGGGGTTCGTGCCGCAAGACGAGGAGCCCGTCGCGACCCTCCGTGTGGCGAACGGCCCAAGGAAGCGAGTGTCGCAGAGCTACCTCTGAGATCCCTTCACGTGACCTCTGACCCACCGCACAACTAGAGGGGGATTCATCTTCCTTCAGCCCGGCCACCGGGAGTAATGCTCATCGCAAGATGGTCAAAGTGATACATTAAAATTACCAGAGATTGAATTTAGAAAACTTGACCATCACATAATTAGTAGTGAGAATTGGCGGAGGTGTGAATTGCAGATGGATTCGATCCCGCTGTGACAATGAACCCAACATCCTCTGTTTAAGCCAGACCTATAACTCACAGTAACACACAAACTCTGACAGAGAGATACTCATACAACATTTACTGGTGTACACCTTCACAAATATGTACACAATCATGACATCGCGCACAGCTGCTGTGTGGATTGTTGCATGCTGAGACCGTGATGGATGGTTGTGACTTCGTGAGGCATTCATCCAGCAGTGGATAGATCACGGATGGATGAGGACGGTGACGATGACAGGCACAGTGCCGGGAGTGTGCTTCTGGCCTCACTGTCGCTGCTCTTTGTGCGATCCGCAGGCGAGCTACTTCGACCGCGATGACGTGGCCCTGAAGCACTTCCACAAGTTCTTCAAGGATCTGTCGCACGAGGAGCGCGAACACGCCGAGAAGCTGCTCGAGTACCAGAACAAGCGCGGCGGGCGCGCCGTGCTCCAGGACATCAAGGTACGTGTTTATTTGACCGTACTTCACCGCACTCTCGTCTCCTACCTCACGTTTACCGATCGTTCATCCCATTACTCTGCATCTCGTCAGCTCTCCGCCAGCCGCATCTCTCGGTGGGCCGCTCCGAGAGACACCGCGCTTGACACATGAGCCGCCCGGTTGGAAAATCCGGCCACAGACTCTGTACGTCTCATTTCCGTGTGGGAGCAGAAGCCGGAGCGTGACGAGTGGGGCAGTGGCCTGGAGGCCATGCAGCTCGCCCTGCAGCTGGAGAAGACCGTGAACCAGGCCCTGCTGGATCTCCACGCTCTGGCCAGCGAGAAGAAAGACCCGCAGGTTCGTACGTTCGGTGGCTCGGGTCCCAAGCACCCTGCGGTCGCTCTCAGCACCCGCGGCTCTCGCCACGAAGCTGTCTCCCCGGTCGGTCCCACGGCCACACTCCACAACCACGTCGTCCCCAAGTCCATGGCTCTCACCGCCAAGTCGCCGGTCACTTTGAGCGACCACCGCACCCCATGAAACGTCTCCCTGACCAATGAAGCCGTGGCTGATGTTGCTGTTGTTGTGTCCACAGCTGTGCGACTTCCTGGAGCACGAGTTCCTGGAGGAGCAGGTGGAGTCCATCAAGAAGCTTGGGGACCACGTCACCAACCTCAAGCGCCTGGGCGTGCCGCACTCCACGACAGGAGAGTACCTCTTCGACAAGCTCACGCTGGGCAGCAGCTGAGCTGCGTCTCCGTCGCCCCCAGCCTCGCCACGCTCAGCCTCTCTGTACCCCGCGGCGACTCCTCCTTGAGAAATGGCATTTGTCTGTTGGTTAGTTAGTCAGTCAGTCACAGCACTCGCTTGAGTCATGTTCATTGTTCTGTTCACCGCCAAGCAAGCACCACCTATGACCTTTGACCTAGGTCAATAAAACTCACTGAAGGTTTTGAGCTTACTTACCTTAAGGGGTGTTTCAAAAGTCTAAATGCTCTCATTCCATCGCTCTTAACGGTTGAGTTGAGTTAGGAAATGATCAGTAGAATGAAGAAAATGTGGGGGACAAATTTATTATTAGGGGGTGGGGGGGGGGGCTAAAGGCATACAAATTGACAGCAATTTTCTAATGAATAAAAACGAGCACAAGTAGCCTCGACACAAGTGCCCCCTATGTCAGGAGGTTCTCGTGCAGAGACATCTCCGCCTCCGTGGAGGAGTGTGCACCTCCAAATCCATACCCAGAGACGTCCCCGGCACCGTGCCCCGTGCACTCGGCAGCGGCCCGCAGACAAATCCCTCTTCTCCTCGTAGGCGGTCGACGGCCACCTGTCCGATTGTAAAGGCGCATCTTCCTCTTCCTGATGAATGCAACATCGTCACCGGAGCCATAAGCTCGGTCAGAGTCGACCACGGGAAGCTCACGGAGGAGGAGGAGCGCCAAGCGGGCCGGAGCGGCCGCGTCCCTGGCGGGGCGCGGGGCCTCTCTGCGGCGACTCTTCCCGTGGCCTTCACTCTCCGCCTGTGGGCGGTGGCGATGGTCCAACCGGGGTGTGAGTGCGAGGGCCGCCGAGATGGAGCTGCTGTGCTGAGAAGGAGCCTCTAATAAAGTGTGACGAGCATCACCCATCGTCTCGCTCTCATCTTTATACAGAGAGAGATACAGAGTATGCCATTGTTTAGATCCTCACTGCATTTTACGATAACAGGCAACGATCCCCATATCGCCATAACAGACTGTTAGAGCAAGTGCTGTAACCGGGCACCGGTGAAGGCTGGCACAGCACAAGGGGGGGTATGGCCAGCACCACGCCCCAGTGGTGATGTTTACACATCACGCCAGGTACTCATTTGAGGTCACGTCGACCTAGGGAGGCACAGACCAGATTCAGATAATCATCACTGGGGTCGGCCGTGAGCAGGAATTGAACTCAGGGGTGGCTGGGTTCGTTGCGACCGTTGCCCTCCAGCTTGACACAAAACTGAGGTTCACATTTTACCATCCATCATCATCAACTGCATTTAGAACCAGGCAAGAGCCGATGAAGACTCTAAACCACGACCCACTAGGGCATTTACAGGTAAAACGTTGCCAGCAATCGAAGTCATTGGCAACAGTTGCTGCAGTTTCCCCATTACGCACTCCCCCCCCCCCCCGTCACCTGCACTCAAGCGGATTGACGCTCCACGGTGGGAAACTGGGACGGTGGCCGTGGATCAGCCGAGCAGCAGCTCGCCTGGGACTCTCCCCGACTGCTCGCTCGGTGCACTCGGCCTCAAGCCCTTCACTCGAGCGATATGGGAATCTGTCCTGGGTCTCCCCCTAGGTTAACTCGGCCCTAAACAAGTACTGTACCGTGAGAGCGGTGTGTGAACATTGGGATTGAGGAGAGACAAAGGCGGCCAGAGCCGGCATGGTCCTGGCCACACCAAGCCAACTCCCATGTGCCCATCACATCAACAGAATGTAGTGAGTTTATAACACGGCAATGACAACAATAGGAGCACAGTCTTTAGTAAAACATTTTATTTTCTTGCAGCGTTTATGAAGCCAGCCACTCACATGTTCTGATACCGTTTGAATGTAATTTTTTTTGTAATGCTCTCACCTTATCGCACATCACTCCCCGCTTGCTAGCTTAAACGCGACATCGGTCCCGACGCCAATTACGGATGATATAAAATCCTCGCTGTGAAGTCGCACGAAGCCACGACAAAGAAAACGACAAGAGATGTTTCCATGCCAGAGGCCGCGATGGCTGCTCGGGCGCTCCGTACGCGACACTTCAAACCAGTTGGGAGACAAACAGTATTTACACATCTCATCACAAGCAACAGCGAGCCAACTCCTTTCACTCACGAGCCACGAATGGCAATACCATACTCAACCTCTGGTTTCAAGGCTCGTGGCCAACAGTTCACTCTTAGTGAATAATCATGACAATAAAAACACAGCTATCAAACCCAGAGATTTTCTTTTTTAATTTCACAGCTGAGTCATGCAAAAAATAATTGTCAACGACTGCCCCCCCCCACGTTGAATATAATTTTTGTCTGACCCGTCCCCCATCCGATATACCCCCCCCCTCCCACCCCCCCGAAATCATAGTAAACAACCGAGCGAGCACACGCACGCACACCGAATCGAGACGTGAAAAATAACAAACGAAACAGACCAATGTTCGGCATTCAGCCGAAAAGCCCAGAACAAGAATAATAATTACACACACCTCCGCTGAGAGAGCCCTCTCCGTACCCAGACCGCTTTACCTAGCCAGTATAAAATTCCAGAATTCCCAGATTGGAAAGCATTCCTACTTTGAATGATTAGGAATCAACGAGTGGAGGCGGGAGTGGTGGGTGGAGGGTTTATATATATTTAAAAAATCACGCATTAAATAGCAAATTGTGACCACGTAATAATACGTGGTTGCTACAAAATATTGAAAAATTAAAGTTATCTTCATTGTATTGTACTTTGCAAATCCATTAAGATCACTCTAAATTCATTGTCATCACTCTGGAAAACAAAGTAACTTTATGCTGCAAGCATTCAAAAGCTAAAGCTTCACAGTACCACAGAGTGCCTTCATTCAGCCAAATAGCTTGTTTCTTACATTCAGGGTAACAACAGAATTTCTGTGGTGGTAGGGAAGGTGGTGCGCATAAGATGCATTATCACGGCTCGGACCATTTCTTTTTTGGGGGTGGGTGGGGGGGGGGTATACTCAGGATGTGAGACTGACCGAGGAGCGCGGTGGACGCCCGTCAACAAACGCGCATGCCACTGCACTGTCGCCGGGAGTTGCCGGACGCAGCGGTGCGAACGGACGGGTGCGAGCACGAGCATTGCCCTGCGGCGGTGCCTCTGTTCCACTGCACTACCTCGAGCGTGCCAGGGCTGTGCTGTGCGAGCCCGGAGCACCGCTTCGCTGCTGCCAGCAATGAATTTTCCAACGAAGCAGAGCCAAGCGGTAGACGACTGATGGTACATGTAATGAACGGGTTGAGATGCAGCGACGCTGCATGTCCTCAGTGTACCGACCTACGTGGCGTTAGCCCCTGGCCCTACTTGCAACGGAGCCAGATTGAGACGTCTTGCAAGTTCGGCGTATCGTGGTTTGGTTCTGGTTCGGCACGGCATCATATAGCCGGTGGAAAACCAGCCGCGTCACCGGGGCCTTGTGCTCGGCTCGTATGTGCCAGTGGAAAAAGGGTTCCCATTGAGCTCCAGCTGACCGACGAGGCGGTGGTGCGACGCGGCTCCCGTGGGAGAGGAGCAGGAACGCTGATCGCGATCTGGGAAGACTCATGTCCTGCTCGGAAGCTGCTCGCCACCACGGCTATTGGCGCCGCCACTGCACAGGCTCTTGCCGTTGTGCCGTGCGGCTCTCCCGAAGCGTGTTCGGGTCGCGCCGCGCGCCGTCCGGCGTTTTGTTTCCACGCGCCGGGGAACTTTTTTTCCAGCACGTGAAGCGAAACGCCGAGACAACGTACAGCGGGGGCAACCACCAGAAGCACATCGGAGAGAGCCTCCGCACGTCGCCGAGTGGAGGGCGGCGGCGGCGATGACGCCGGAACGACGCGGATTCCAACGCCGCTCGATTTGTGACGAGCCGCCCCCAACGGTCGACGAGACGCCGACAAACGCTCAATTCGCCGTCGCCAAATCAACCCGACGTGTCCCTGGGCACGCATGCCGTCACTCCATCAGGCGAGTGAGAATTAACTCTTCGCGCATTTTTGCACCTCCTGACGCAACCTCTTAGCGAGACTACTACTACGCAAATTGAATCGTTGGGAAGTTGACTGCGGCGCAGGCGAGACGGAGGAGCCACAACCATCTCCCCCTCCCCCCTCCCTTGCTGCAGCCCCGCACCTTTGTAGACCACCCGCGCATCTGGAGAACGGCCAGTCAGCTCCGCGTCGTTACCGTGGTTACAGCCCTAGCAGCTCGTGGCAACGCGGACACCGAGAGAGAGCGAGCGAGGCTCGCCACACCGCGACGACTGCACCTTTGGCCACCGTCTCGCCGGCCCGACGCGCTTCAAGCGGACGGGGCGGGTTCGCGACGTCACCGATGCACCTCCACGTCGTCCGCTTGTGCTTCCGGGCAGTGGTTCGATTGATTATAGGGGGAGACCCACGAACTCGATGGGGCGGGGGATGCACAGCAGATTCTGTGCGTGGTTCAGAGCGATCGTATTATGAAAGAAAAGCCAAAGGACGACTGCTCTTTCCCAAACAAACCGCATTACTTTATTAAATTCACACCTGGCCATTAAAAATAACAGTAATAATATTATTGTATCCCAACAGAACCTTTTTGACCACATTTCTTAGAATTAAATACACCCGTTTGTACATTTGTGCCCTGAAACTAAATGATCAGTAACTAGACCGTTTCTCGATTAATGGGTTTTAATGGCTTAAGATTATAGGGTTGACAGCTAATGATATTTTTGTTTTTATATGTACACACACACAAAAATGGTACCCAATACGATAAGCTGAGTTCCACCTAAACAAATATAACCACTGGCTCTCTGTAAGGTGACCGGTTGATGGACAAATCCGTTTGTGTTAAACACAAAGGGCACGAGACACAATTGTAGAATGAGTATATGCTTGCAACGACACAACCGCAGGCTACGTAACTCGCAGGGTGGCCGGGGGGGGGGGGGGGGTCCATTCGTTCCGCCAATGTAATTGAACGAAGTTGAAAAATGTATTGCTCGCTAATGTATTTAAATGCCGCCCCCCCCAAAAAAAATACGTGGGAATCCGAAGATTGAATAATCTTACGCTGGGAATCTCAACTGTTGGGACACACGAGGAACGTGTCCATCGACCAACACTCCGCACGTAGCGATTTGACGTTTAGAGTTTTGACGTTTCGCGTTTTGACGTTTAGAGTTTGGTTTCGTTGTCACGTAACGAGCATCGCCAACGCCACGCACAAATCCAGCGAGGCGTTTTAAGATCCAGCGCGACAATCAAACCAGCCCGCCCAACTCCCAGGCGGAATTACACTCGCGACTATCTGTCACTTTTGAAAGACTACCTCTCGCGAGTAACCCAAGGAAAACAAGAAAATGAAAACCAACACACTTGAATCAAACGAGCTCAACCAAGGCGATGGCGCTTTCACCTCCTGACAACGTGAACAGCAATTTGTATCCAGCACTTGATTAAACAAGTATCATCTAACACTATTACGCTTCAATTGCGCACGATTGAAAAGTATGTAGCGACATAGAGCTCCGGATTTTGCAGATTGTTTCTGAAAAATAGGGAATTCTTCAGACAAAAATGAAAGCGCAGCTTTGCTTGGCTACAATGTCACCACATGCACACTGCATTGGAAAGGTTGGGAGAACCAAACAGCATTCCGTTACAAATCTCAATTCTCAGTTTCAAGGGCAAATAAACAAATACAAATAAAGTATTTCGGATGAAGTCAATTAATTGTGTCGTCAAGAGTGTGACACTTTGAACAATCGGTCCACGAGATAAACACAGAGACGGAGCTCGAGTTAAGAGAACACGAGACCGCCGGTTAGATACCTGCAACCGCTCACAGTTATCCAACAAGACGCCCATCCAAGAATTGTCTTGGACCTACGGTCGAAGTGCCGATGGGAATGTGCGCTGTGACATGAAGGGGGCTACGGTGGAGACGCTCAAAGACGATCCGCAGTACAACAACACAAAACCAGGAGCTCGCACACCGAGGAGAGGCTCGGAAGAGAAAGAAACCCAGGAGATGAAAGAGCGCGACAGCGTTGCAAGACTTCGAGCAAGACATGAGGATAGACAGAACGCACCACAGATAAGTTAGACGGACACGGTGAGAGCGCGATGGCAAAAGAAGAGGAGCAACAGACAGCAGCAGTGGACAGAGAAGAGAGACCGCAGTAGACGACGCTAGAGGCAGAAAAAGGAGAACAACCGCACGCAACTTTGCTGGCGTGTATCGACGCAACAAACGCGTGGCCGTAGGATCGTTGACTGGTTGGGGCGAGCGAGCTGGCTGGCTGGCGGGCGGGCGTTCTACCTGTCCTTGACATCGCGTGCCACGCGCTTGGTGATGCGGCCGCACAGCAGGCCGAAGGCGAAGAGCACGCAGATGGCGGCGAGGATGACGATCAGGAAGTACGTGCGCGACGGGGAGTCGTAGACCGTCTTGGCAAGCTCCCCCAAGCTGTCGGGAGGCACCACCTGGCGGCCAGCGGCAGGAGACGCAACAACAACAACAATCACTCAAGCGGCTGTCGCTTCCTCTGGAAAGGTATTTTGATCTACTCTTTCACGCTGGTCATGGAAGAGCTGGGGGTACTCGTACTTTACCCCAACCGCCGATCGACCAACTACGGTGTACCCGTTTGGTACCGTCGATCCCGAGGCGGGGCTGAATGCAGAAACTTTGTCCATTGGTTCAACCGTCAGGCCGGGAGGCTGAATCGGTGACCTCTGGGCCACAAGTCCAATGTGCGGGCCATGACGACATCGTGGCGACAGACATCCGTGATTAGCGTTTGTGTTGGCCGTCACAGGCAATGCTTACCTTGGCTGCATACTCCCACATCTCCTTGCGGTCGACCAGCCGCTTCTTGCACTCGGGCTGCAGACGGACTGTCTTGTCATCCAGTGATTCGAGTAAACATGACATCTCTACAAAGACAAAGACAACCCGCATAGCCTTAACAGACTGTAGGGACAAGTGCTGTTAGCGAACAGCACCTATGAAGGCCAGCATGGCGGGCAAGGTGAATGGTGGCTAGCACCACGCCCTACCGCCTTGATCTCTCCAGTGTCGATGTTAATTTCACACATCGCACCAGGTACTCATTTGAGGTGGAGTAGACCTAGGGGAGGCCCAGGACCAATTCCGATATTCGTCATTGGTGTTGGTGGCCGTGAGTGCGAATCGAACTCGGATCACCGGGTTCGTAGGGCAGCGCACTAACGAACACACATCGCACCCACCAACCCTCGCCACCCACCAACCCACGCCACCCACCAACCCACCAACCCAAACCACGCCACCCACCCTCGCCACCCACCAACCCACGCATCCCCTCGGCATAAGAGACAGGTGCAGAAAAAGACATCACAACGACGACACGAAAGCCAAATTGGAATGAAACGGTAAACAAACAAAAGGACAGTTGGTCACAGGGTCAGTGTCCTGTAGGGCACCGCAAGTGCACGGTCCGGGGTCCGTCTCGGGGGGGGGGGGGGGGGGGGGGGGGGGGGTAGGAGCTTACGCTTGCCCTCCCCGGGCGCCACGCCCCCGCAGTAGTGCTTGAGGTCAAGCGAGCAGGCCGTGTGCAGCACGGGGTCGACAAACACGTCCGCCTTGCTCTCCTGCAGGATGTTGAAGACCTCCTGCGCGACACAGCGGGGCGCAGCTTGTCAACAACGTACGATTAATAATCATTACGAAGTACATGTGGTATTCGCGACATTCTTATGGCGTGAGGCTATCACGAAGGCGCCGTTTTACAGCCGTCACCTGCGGTAGTCTCCCAGTAGGGGGCGACGTTGCTGTGCGTATTCCCAATCGATTTTTTTTTTCTTCAGAATACGACAACTTTTGACAGCGACATCGGCACACAATCGCCCACGCATGTTGAACGACATGGGGGGAGGGGGGGGGTGGGGGATCTTTAACGTCCACCGTGATGCGGACGGCGTGTACTCTACGGCTAAAACCCGCACCGCAGCAATCGGCAGGATAGCACCGAGCGAATGGAGCCCAACCCACTGCCTGAGCGGTGTGCGGAACGCAGGGTGCCGGCTGTTGGCGTGCAACGTGGGAGGTCAACGCGGGAGGTCAACGCGGGAGGTCAACGCGGGAGGTCAACGCGGCGGGCGCACAGCGGGGTAGGGTCTGGCGGGATTGGCAACGTGGGAAACGGCGCCGTACCGTGCGGCAGCCTTCGCTCTTGATCTTGGGCAGGTTGATCTTGAGGCACTCCTCCACCTGCCCCGCCTGCTCCTGCGCCGCAGCCTCGTCGGCGCACAGCTTCGAAATCTGGGAGACAGAGACACGGGCACGGCTCGCGTGAGCGCCGCCCTTCGTCTCTCCACTGCTGGATGAAGGCCCCCCAACCCCCCCACCCTCCACCTCCTCCCCCCCGCACCGTTGTCAATCGTGGACGCCGTTTCACCGTGACTTGGCGCGTGCGTGTTTGTGACGAGGGAAGTCCAGGACCAGCTCAGACGTCGCTCGCCCCTAGTTTTAACCACGGCTGGGAAGCAAACTCCAGTGGCTGGGTTTGGAGTGCAGCGCGCTAATTAACACGGTGCCACTGATATAGAAATGCAGTTGTATGTCCTCAATACACGTGGGTGTGTGTGCGTGTGCGCCAGTGTCAAGCTGAAACTCACGTCGTCGCCGCAGTGCATTTGCAACTGAGGGTCCAGGCGGTAGTCCATAGCAGACTCCTGGATGGCAAGGCGGATCTGGTCCTCGCAGTCCATGGACATACGCTGTGCAACACAACAACAAAACAAAGATCCCCCGGTAAAGTCTTAACAGACTGCAGGAGCAAATGCTGTTAGCGAACACCAATGCAGGTCGGAACGCCACACGAGGAGGCGAGTGGCCAGCACCACGACCGGCCACCTTTGTCTCCCAGTGGCGATATTTACACACTGCACCAGGTACTCATTTGAGGCCGAGTCGATCTAGGGGGAGGCCCAGGATCGATTCAGATAATCGTCACTGTTGTTGGCCGTGAGCGGGAATCAAACTCTGGACCCGGGTTCGTAGCGCAGCGCGTTAATCGCTACACTACGGCTCCCCACGCAAACGCACGCGCCACACCACCTCCGTTAGGCACCCTCACTATTCATTAAAGCCCAGCATGCACAAAGCTATCTATACGACACATGTGAAACACGCTCGGTGCAATTTACACTTAATCGTCTCTCTGCTAATGAGCCAGGCAAAGGCGCCCTGAGGGTTCCGAAGGGTTGATGGGTAATTACTGCTGGAGCCTCACGGTGCAACAAGAAGGGCACTGTGGGGGCCTGCCACTTAGTGCAAATGTAAAACCTGACACCCGCCATTAGCAGGCCCACTCCTGCTCCAGATTGCGGATATTGAATGCGCGTCCCGTGGATACGAAAAACTTCATCACGCTCGCAGAGATATTAAAGTCTCATTTTAAACAACATCGCCGTCACCATCATCATTGATCCACCATGTATTACATTGAGAAATCAAGCACAAGTCACAGAAGCCAACACTGCCTTTGCACATCGTGAGCTATGCAAACACAGTTTGTCATCAACAGTCAAAGTGGATCGCTACTCAAACAAAACCCGGGGGACAGCGCTCAAACCTCCATGCGTTGCCAACGTTACGGCGGCAGTAACATCACCACTACGGCGACCGCTGGGTAACGTTGATGACAATGAGGGTTATTTATTCGTAGCGTTGAAGCTACCGGAACGTACGAGCGCGCGTACAAGCGAACATTCACCGCTTGGTCAAGCAATTAACTAAACCCCCCGGCCGGCCCCACCTGTTTGCCGTATTTGAGCTTGAGGCACGAGATGACTTTTCCTTCCAACTCTTCATCGTTCTTCTCCTGCTCCAGCACAGCCTTGCAGAACTTGGGGATGTCTCCTTTGCACGACTTCTTGAGGATGGGGTTCAGCCGATAGTCTGCGGGAATGAAACGAAAACGTCTTCGTGCGAAATGGACGGGGTTGTTTTTCTCTGGCGAGTAGCGGAACAGTTTTACTCCTGAAACTGTCCACGGGCTCGCTCGCTCACTCACCAAACTCCACATGAAGACATACACATTGCTGTTTATACAGCGGACTCTCGGTTAACAATGTTAATTGGTTCCCGAAAACCATCGTTGATTGAAATTATCGTTAATAGAGTTTAGGAAATACATGTTAATGGATAGCATATCAAATACTGAAAAGCTAGCAGCCGGTTTGCTCTCAAAACGCTCATAAAAGGGCGTCGCTAATTGGCTGAGGTCTGCCGAGATCACTTAGGAGCGCTCCGATTAGCCAAAATTGGCGGCCGTGCGATATCGTTAATCGAAAATGTATCTTCAATAGAAACAATGGGACCCTGTGGGAGGCGGATCGTTACTCGATGGTATAGTAGACCGAGGGACCACTGTACCTCCATGTCAGAACAACAATAAATAAACAGAGCTAAAAAGAAAGCGATGACGGAATCGAATCGTGACGTTGACATCGGTGATGTCATCGCATCGTCGCTGGGTAAGGGGATGAGCGCCCCGACGCCCACTATCGAGCGGACCCCCCTCACCACCCCCAGCCCCCACCTGAGTACTGCACGATCTGCCGCTTGGTGATCATCTGCTTGCACTTGGGGTCCATGACCTCGCTGTGCTTGTTCTGCTTCAGGCACTGCATGATGTCGCGAGGGTCCGACTCGGAGCAGAAGCGCTGTGGAGGCAAAGCAACGTTAGACATCCAAACTCCCCCCCCCCCCCCCCAGCGTCACGACACACACTTCACGATTCTACCGCTCATGACACACGCGTCAAGTTCTGCGCGCGCGAGAGAATGCGTTATTTTTTATTCGTATACCATGTATGAGATCGGTTCGCGCAAATCGTCGTCGTTTGTTTATGTAGCACCTCAGACCAGCGCTACAGGACACAGTGAAACCACACATACACACACACACGAATCTGAACCCAGACTTCACTCCGGTCAGTGCCGATCAGGCACCCTTATATAGCAAGGCACTGCTCCAGCCACTTATACACCTTTTCCACTGGCACATCCGAGCAGAGCCAGCACGGGGTCCTCGTGTTACGTCCGGGTGGTTACCGCTGGCTATTCGCTGTGCCGAGCCAGACCCAAACCGCGATACGCGGGCCTCACAAGACATCCGAATCTGGTTCGGAGGCAAGCGGGGCCGGGGGGGGGGCCTGACGCCACATCCATTGGGCGCGACGTGGGTCAGTACGCGGCTTGGCACAGCCCTGGCGCGGATTTGTTGTGCAGTGGAAAAGGCACTGGGGCCTTCCATACCTTGATCATCTGCTTGCAGACCCGCATGAGCGTGTAGTCCATCTCGGGATCAGACATCTCCTGCTCCTCACGCTTGAAGAGCTTCTCGTGGCACTTGGGGCTGAGGTTCTTCCGCTTGTCCTTGAGGCACTCGAGCACCTGGGAGTGGTGAAGGGTGGGGGGGGGGGCGCAGGCCAGGGTAAGGCAGTCAGGGCGACACTGTGGTGGGATGCTAACTACCTCGTCTGGTGTACAGGAGGTCGTGGGTTCAATCCCAACCCTGACTCCTGCTGCTGTATATTTGGAGATTGCGTGTCTCTCTCTCATCATCATCACGGTGGCTAGGAGATGTTAACTACCTCGCCTGGTATGCAGGAGGTCGTGGGTTCGATCCCAACCCCGACTCCTGCTGCTGTATATTTGGAGTTTGCGTGTCTCTCTCTCATCATCATCACGGTGGCTAGGAGATGTTAACTACCTCGCCTGGTATCCAGGAGGTCGTGGGTTCAATCCCAACCCCGACTCCTGCTGCTGTATATTTGGAGTTTGCGTGTCTCTCTCTCATCATCATCAGGGTGGCTAGGAGATGTTAACTACCTCGTCTGGTGTACAGGAGGTCGTGGGTTCAATCCCAACCCTGACACCTGCTGCTGCTGTATATTTGGAGTTTGCGTGTCTCTCTCTCCGTGGCCACGTGCATTTTTATCCGGTTCCTCCAGGTTTTCCCTCCACATTTGGGAACATGCGTTTTGAGTATTTAGCTGCTAGAAATGTCACACACGAGTCCCTTTGTTGAGCTGTCATTTGTGGTCAGGACCCTTAAAAAAAGCCATCCAGCTCCGTGGGCCTCACCTGGTAAAATGTTACTTTTAGATAGTCGAATCGGATATGGGGCGATTTGTAATTAAAAACGCAGCGGCATCGCCACCTCAAATCACAATCCAAGCATGAGCGACAACTCGGAGTGCGATTCCCCCCCCCCCCCCCCCCCCCCCCCGCTATGACAGCCGTCCGCTCCTAAGTTTCTTCCTAAAACAACAGTGTTTGGCAGGCAATAATACAAACATTAAAGGTTCTCTTTAAAAGCTGTTTCTCACTCTGCGCCTGCGAGAGTGTGGTGCAGAAATAAAACATGAACATATATAAACATACGGAGCGAACGCGTCCCGCCTGCCTGGCTCCGCCCGTACCTGCGCATTCCCAAAGGAGGCCTCTTTGCAGAACTTCTTGATGTCAGGCTCACAAGTTTCACTCAGTTCCGGGTCGAGCCGCAGGTCCTCCGTCTGCAAGGCAAGCAGGCAGAGACGACGCACGTTTACAGCGCCAACTCCTCAACGGGAGCTCACTGACAACGCCAACTCCTCAACGGGAGCTCACTGACAACGCCAACTCCTCAACGGGAGCTCACTGACAATGCCAACTCCTCAACGGGAGCTCACTGACAACGCCAACTCCTCAACGGGAGCTCACTGACAACGCCAACTCCTCAACGGGAGCTCACTGACAACGCCAACTCCTCAACGGGAGCTCACTGACAATGCCAACTCCTCAACGGGAGCTCACTGACAACGCCAACTCCTCAACGGGAGCTCACTGACAACGCCAACTCCTCAACGGGAGCTCACTGACAGCGCCAACTCCTCAACGGGAGCTCACTGACAACGCCAACTCCTCAACGGGAGCTCACTGACAACGCCAACTCCTCAACGGGAGCTCACTGACAACGCCAACTCCTCAACGGGAGCTCACTGACAGCGCCAACTCCTCAACGGGAGCTCACTGACAACGCCAACACCTCAACGGGAGCTCACTGACAACGCCAACTCCTCAACGGGAGCTCACTGACAACGCCAACACCTCAACGGGAGCTCACTGACAACGCCAACACCTCAACGGGAGCTCACTGACAACGCCAACTCCTCAACGGGAGCTCACTGACAACGCCAACACCTCAACGGGAGCTCACTGACAACGCCAACACCTCAACGGGAGCTCACTGACAACGCCAACTCCTCAACGGGAGCTCACTGACAACGCCAACTCCTCAACGGGAGCTCACTGACAGCGCCAACTCCTCAACGGGAGCTCACTGACAACGCCAACTCCTCAACGGGAGCTCACTGACAACGCCAACACCTCAACGGGAGCTCACTGACAGCGCCAACACCTCAACGGGAGCTCACTGACAACGCCAACTCCTCAACGGGAGCTCACTGACAACGCCAACACCTCAACGGGAGCTCACTGACAACGCCAACTCCTCAACGGGAGCTCACTGACAACGCCAACACCTCAACGGGAGCTCACTGACAACGCCAACTCCTCAACGGGATCTCACTGACAACGCCAACTCCTCAACGGGAGCTCACTGACAGCGCCAACTCCTCAACGGGAGCTCACTGACAACGCCAACTCCTCAACGGGAGCTCACTGACAGCGCCAACTCCTCAACGGGAGCTCACTGACAACGCCAACACCTCAACGGGAGCGCGCGCGCCACGTTGGCGCACGGAGTAGACACAGCGGGGACCTGCAATCGCTCACTTGCGCAAGGGCCTCCCCCGCCACCAGACGTCTTGGAATATTTGGGTGTACCCACGCTTTACCCCACCAAACGCGACCCTGACGATCCGACACATCGTGCTGTACCCATTTGTGCCCCTGGGGGGCGGGGGTGAATTTCAAGTCAAAAGTCAGAGTGTCTCCGCGTGTAAACATCTTCTCTCGCGACCCAGGGGCAGCGGTGAAAATGGTGCATTTCCTGCAGTCGGGGCCGGTCTCTCTGAACGACACGCACGGCCACCGCCTAGATCCACCAACTCAAACGGTCGCGAGCGTGCGCACCGCACGCTCGGCGCGCGGTGCACCGCGGCATCGCGGCAGGACCGACCCTCGCGGTCACAGCGGCCACGTTCGTAGACGCAGGACGGCGGCGTCGCCGACTCCTCTGCGGGCCCCCGCTGGGACGAGGGAGGCAGCGGCCCCAACACCGCGGGGGGAAAACAAACTCTCACACTCTCCCGGCGTCAGGGTCATCGTCATCATCGTTGTCATCGTCGTCATCATCGTCGTCATCATCGTCAGTTGCGATTCACGTCGCGCTTCCCACGCAGCGCACGTGGAGGCGCCGCCGTCTCACCATTTCAAGCTCCTCGACACGCAGTTGCTTGCGGCACTTGACGGACACGCGCTGGTCCTTGCTCTCCAGCAGCGTGTCGTTGCGCACCATGCTGCTCAGGCAAAACACCACGTCCGACCTGGAACACAACAACGATCGCCGTGAGCGGACGCAGACTGGACCCCGCAAGAGTAATGTGGAGGCTTTACCCTCTAGTCTCAGAATCGCCGTGGCAGACAAGCACCGCCCCCACGCCTGCCTGCCTTCGTCTCTCGAGTGCCGATGTTTACACACTGTACAAGGTACTCATTTGAGGCCGAGTCGACCTAGGGGAGGCCCAGGACCGGTCCAAATTATCGTCACAGATGTTGGCTGTGAGCGGAAATCGAACTCGGGTCGCCGGGTTAGTAGCGCAGCACGCTAACTGCTGCACCACCGCTCCCCGCTCTCGCACACGTGTGACGCGTTGCTTTTGGCCTCACTTTCTCCGTATGTTCGGACACAGCTTGAGAACGTCTTCCTTGCAGGCCGTCTTGAACTTGAACGAAAATCGGAAATCCTTCATCTGGATCTGCAGAGCGGGTTGACACAAGCGGTACACACACACAGCTGAGCACAAGACGTCCAGTGCTGGTCGTCAGTCAAATACTAAACTCGGGCTGTGTGGGTTATTAACAAAAATAATAATAAAAACCCATACCAGCTGGAAATGCGTAATGCCAATGTAGCACTTTTCGTTGATTTCCTTTTGATGCTTGTTCTCCACCAAACATTCCATCAGGTCGTCCGTTTCACCCTTGTCGTCCGCAACGGTCTGCAGGAAGCCGAGAATGGAGGCGCCTCAAATTAAAAGCCACGGTCACGACGTACAGCATTTTAAACTCGGGGCATTGGTGGCCACACACGTGGCCTGTAATCCAGCACTGTGGAGACAGCGAGCGTTTGGTTGGTGGGTCGCGAAAGTGTGGTATCATTCCCATACCCTGGCTTGCCAGTAGAAGGCAGTCCAGCGACGTGTGAGCTAATATCATCTATCGCTTCTGTATGGGATGGAGTGGTGTCCTCTAGCACGTGCGTTTTCTCAGGGTGCTCTGGTTTTCTTCTACATGCATTAATTAGCTAAAAACATCTAGATATATAGAGGACTGCAGAGCTAGGGCAATTGCTAGCACTGGCTTACTGCCTTGGCTGCCTTCCCAGCATTCTGTGGTTACTCAGCTATTTTGTAAGTTTGCATGCATGGCGCTACATAAAACTATAACATTATTCTTTTCAATCTCAACAGCAAAAATGAAATTAAAAAGAAACAAAACCTCAAGAAGAGCAATTGTATTTCATTAAACGTTTATGTTTGACTATGCAATGGTTATTAAATTTAGTACACTGGGCTAAAACCTGTTCAAGATCCCAATAAAAGCCACTTCATTTAAAACAAGGCCACAAATAACATGCAAACTTTGCCAACAGCCCAACGAGCCGCTCATACAAAGTGGTGCAATTAATTAATTACGAAGACTTGTACGGTACCTGCCATAACTAAAAACTACAGGGTGACAAGTATTTTAAAGGCTGTGCTGTATCATGGAAATCGGATGCGGTGTACAAACACCAGCACTGGGGAGACAAAGGCGGTTGGGGGCGTAGCGCTGGCCACAACACCCCCTCGGTTGCTGCGTCGCCCTTCATGGCTGCTCGCTGACAGAACTTGGCCCAACAGCCTGTTAAACACTGCACACGGTGGGGACGCGGGGACGCTTGCGTACGCGTGTGTGTGCGCGCGTGTGTGCGTGCACTCACGTGGCAGTACGCCTGAATGATGGGCTCGCACGCCCTCATGAGCAGCGCTTCAATCTCAATGTCCTGCAGCAGCAGCAGCAACAATAAAACACAAAGTGTCTGAAGCGTACAACAGTGATGCAACAATTCACCCGACCGATGCTCGATGAAATGCCACGATGGCGCGACTCGTGATTTAATTTACGAATCAATATTTTTTTCTCCTGTCCTTGCGGTGCAAGCAGAATCTATCGTGGTATGTTTTCCACAGTGGCATACGCTTACAAATCCGAAATAATACATTCCAATTTGCATTATTCAGCGCGTGTACCACGAGTGTAACGATCAATGTTAATCCACGAACCGTTACGTCGTTACTACTCGATAAAGAAGCCGTGAACCTCGTGCAAAAATTCAATCAAAATCGCCACATTTTAGAAACAAATTAACACCACCACATACTTCCATAAGAGGCCACACGTATATAGGTGCTTATTTGCAAAACCGTTGTACAACGGATAAGCGTTTTGGCTGGAGGACAGTTCAACCAAGAATGAGCCGATGTCTTTACAATCCCCGATTCTGTCTCGTGAGACACAGACACTACCTTTGGGGTTGTTGATGTCTCACACAGTGAGCAAGGCATCGTCCCAGAGGACAAAGGTATTTCACTCCTGCTCTCACGCCATAACAGAAGGCTCTCGTCTTCATGTCCTGTAACGCGATTGTCAGTTTTGAAGTTACAAAAATAATTCGCCAACATGGGCGAAATATGCCGCATTAACCGAAATCCGCAATATTCAGCGTTGCCTTTTTGGTGGCGCTTGTTGACCAGGCCGAGATCAAGAACTGTTCTCCTCTTGAGCAATGATGGCAGCGGGTTGTATGGACACAATGGCACGATGGCGGCTCGTGTAAGTTCCCACTGGTGAAGGAGGCGTGAGCAACGTGGCGATTAACCCAGACTCACCAACGGTGGTCGACACTCGGACTCAGGCTTGAACCCAGGAACTTACGAGTCAACAAAGAGAGCTCAGTGCTCCAACCGTGAGCACTTGCCCAACCCCCAACCCCACACCCCCCTTACCCCGAGTCACCTGACCCGCTTAGGTCGATCCAAGTCAGCTTTCTCCTGGCACCCAGTGAAACGTGTAGGACTTTCACTCAACTCAAAAGGTGTTTTCTCAACGCGGAAGATCAGGGGAATTCTCAGCCGTGGGTACGTTGGGATGATGACCGCGGTGGTCACAGCGAGCGCAGCGCTCGCTTTGCTGCCGGTGTTAGAAACGGCGGGAGGAGGAGAGGAGGAGGCGGGGGAGGGGGGAGGAGAATGCAACACACCTCGGACTCCATCTCCGTGAGGTTGGTCACAATGTCCTTGCACGGCTTCAGCAGCTCGTCCAGCTTGTCCTGCAGACATTCCAGCTCCTGCACAGCACGAGGACGAAGGTGAAGATCCCACAGGTAAACCAGTTCAGATATGCATCACCGATGTTGGCTGCGAGTGGGAATGCAGTGCGCTCGCAACTATACTACCGCTCCCCATGCATACAAAGACACAGACACACACCTCATCAACGATCACTCATCCACTCATCCATACATAGGGTGGGGTAAGCCATGCAGCACGCTTGGGATATCAACTCAACTAATTGATTGCACCTTCAATCAGTCGCCCTTGATTAGGTCACTGTGCGATAATTAATTTAAATCGGCAAATCCATTAGTTAGATCCATGTGGATGACGTAGGCTGAGCAGCACGAGCTTGACTCACCGAGTGGAGCGAGTGGGGGGTACTGCGGCACGTGGACGTGTCTCATAATACTGCGGGTTTGCGGCAAAGCGTCTGTAGTCCACTGTAGGCCTTCCCAGAATGCTCTTCGTTGTACTACTCGATGCAGTACGAGGCAAAGGCGCAGCCCTGAAATTGCTTATTGGTGCCACTGCTGGCGCAGGCCTCCACCGGAAGGCGCCGACTCTTCTACGCTGGCGACACATCTCCGAAGATGTGCCAGTGACCAGCACGTTACCCAACCACACCCACCTGCCAACAGACTAGCTGCAGGTATTCCCGTCAATTCGACTGGGTGGACACAGGCGGGAGAGGATGTAAACTGCCACACCGGGAGATCATATCGAATGGGTAACTTTTGGAATCCACATCCAGTGCGCTAATCACTACAACCACCGCAGCATACTTGACAAAGTATAATATTTTAATCATTTCAGGGTACTGGTGTACCCCGAAATACGTTCATTAGAAATACGATGATTCATCATTAGGTTCGTCATCAATGAACCCTTTTCATTTGACCTGCGTCTTGGTTGTTTGACGGCCCCACAGGGGGAGGCAGGCGCTCCCCGCTGCCCCTTCCACACAGCGGTGTGACGGTCCGCACGCTGGACTTGCAATCCAGAGTCGTCGATACGATTCCATCTCCAGTTGAGAACAAAGGCGCACCTTTCTTAAGCTTCCCTGCCTAGGTCCACCCAGAAGTTAGCAGAATGGCAGGTCGCGTGGGGTAAAGTGTAGATGCTCCCACCCCTTCCAAGATGTCTGGCCAGCAATAGCCTCTAGCGGGTCTCTCTAGAGAGGTACCTCGAGTGGAGGCCGTTTTGCCGGCAGTCGCGTGAGCGAGCTATTGCAGGGTCGCACCTTTACCATTCCTGGCCAAATCCGCCAATGCGCTCGGCTGGCCAGGAGCCTGAGCTAATGCGTGCCACGCTCCCTTTCACTCGCGCACCTTGCCCGGCTTCTCAGAGCACCACTTGCCCAGGTCGGCCAGGCAGCTCTCCTGCAGCTCGGGGTTCAGGTGCACATCCAGGGCGCGCTGCTGCAGGATGCGGCGCACCTCGTGCTTGCAGTCGCGGGACAGCTGCGGGGGAGGGAGCACGCACGCCAGCGCACGCCGGTGCGTCAATCGTCGGCAGGAGCCACGTCCTGCCGGCCCTCGCCAACGCGGTCGCCGGCCCTCGCCAACGCGGTCGCCCAAGCCGACCGCCCGTCTCCGTGACGGCGATGCAGTGTGATGAGCGAGCGAGGGTGACGTGCGAGATGGTGTGGGGTAGCAAAGAGCGCGCGTCAGCGAGCGAGTGCGATACGTGAGCGGGTGCCGGTGTGTTAGCGAGCGGGCCTTGTAGGAGCTGGCGTGGTGTAGGAGTAAGTGTGGTGTGCGAGTAACTGAGGTAGCGATTGTGTGCGCGGGAGCGGTGTATCAACAAGCAAGCATTGCATGAGCTAGTGTGCTTCATTACTAAGTTGGCCGTGTGGTGTGTGTGGGTGCGAACGTGTGTGCGAGCGTATGTGCAGTGTGCGTGTAGGTGCGGTGTGTGCGCGTGTGTAAGTTCGGTGTGTGCGTAGGTGCGGTGTGTGCGCCTGTGTAGGTGCGGTGTGTTCGCCTGTGTAGGTGCGGTGTGTAGGTGCGTGTGTAGGTGCGTGTGTAGGTGCGGTGTGTAAGTGCGTGCGTGCCAGCGCATGCTCCACCACACACCCGGCGGCCCTGAGACTCGGTGCGGTGCGCGTGCCGGTAGAGGCAGGAGAACACGGCCCCGGGCGGCAGGGTCTCGGAGGTGTCGTTCCAGCCCACCGTGTGGCAAAGGCGCGCCGCGTCGCCCTGGCAGTGCCGGTACAGGATGGGGTCCAACCTGCGACGCGCGCCCGGCACCAGCGGTCAGCGTGAGCGGTGGACCGACGGGCATGCAGACCACCGTGCCGATCGGCCAGCCACTTAGGCAGCGACAGCCAGATTGCGCTGTGTTTCCGGGTTGTGCCGCATGTTGTTTGGAACGATGTCCGGGGTTGCTTCCACGCGCTGGGGAGAAGCTCCCATCGTGCCGAACAACAATCGGCACCACCAGGAAACACACAAATCTGGACGGAGCAAACTGCAGCAACGTACGCAACGTGCCGACGTTGCGATTACCAACAGTGGGACACAGCACCAATTTCGATGCGTTTGGGCCGTGTCGGGAATCTGACCGCAATCAAACTGCAGATGCGGCAACAGTGGTTAGAGTGGGTGTCAAGAGCCCACTGAGAAACCTTGCGCGTCTCAACGTCGTGATGGGACAGGATAGCAGTCGGGAGCCGAGAGGCTCGTGAGAGGACCGCGAGCGGCATTGCCGACTGCATATTTAGATCTCTAGCCAGGGCAGCGGCTCCCAGGGCATCCACGGGGAGGAGGGGCTGGGGGCCCTTGAACGAGTCCCAGAGGAGACTCAGCGGGCCGGGGGTCCATTCACCGACGAGGCCCAGGCATGGACACCGCAGCTTGCGAAGCTCAGCGAGGACAGTCAGGCGGCTGGGCACGGGAGTTGTGGTTCAACCGCCACACAGCCGTGACGGGGCATTGCGATCGCCTTACTTCCAGTCTCTGGAGATGAAGTACTGCAGCTCCAGGAGTTTCTGCTCACAGTCCTCCACCATGTGGTCGGTGTACAGATGTTCCATCAGGCAGGAGAGGATCCTGTGCAAGCGAAGCAGAGAGGGGCACCATTCACATCGCTGGCGAGACCAGCTTGAAGTCCTTTGGAATGCGTTCAGGGCGGTTTAAAACGACCGCTTCCCAATAATCACTCCATTATCAATGGAGACGGTCGACAAATCAGCGTCTTCCTCGGATACGCAATGGGACAGTGCCAATCTGTCTTCACAGGCAGAGCCAGGATAGCAAATTCCCTTTCTCATGCTGGTGGCTAAATTCTGACAAAAAACAACTGCCGACTTTGACGCAAAGTGGAACTCATTTCATGGTCGGCTATGTACGGTGCAACATACATACTTCAATTTACCCACAGCAACTTTAAAAATTACTATTAAAATCACCACTCAACATCGCTACCACCACCCATATACATCACCACATGATACCACCACCACTCAACACCATAACCAATCAACACCACCACCACCACCACACTCCCAACCGTGATCACTCAACACCACCACCACGAGCCCAATGCCACACCACCACCACCACCACACTCCAAACCGTGATCACTCAACACCACCACCAGGCCCGACTCGCGTGGTGGGGGCGCCGGGGAAGAGGCAAGCGGCTCACATGGGGTCCCCGTTGCGGATGTGTTTGCACGCCGTCTGGATGACGGACTCGCACGCTTCGTTGAGTGCCCGGTCGATGCGGTAGTCCGCTCCGGGGTTTGCCTCCTGAACCAGCTCCTGGAGCTGTTGGTGCACACGGGGGGGGGGGGGGGGGGGGGCAGTGACTTTGCCGGCAAGGCAGCGGCGTCGAGCATCCCGGCGAGGTCAGGACGGGCGGCGGCTGGACTCGCAACGTCCGAGACACGAACTTGACGGACAATCCATGGAAACAAAACACGAGTGGTGGGGTGCCAACCACGAGGATTTGGCCTCACGCCAAGGTATTTACAGCTGTCCCAGAGACGTAGAATGCGAGCTTCCAACGCGGCTTCATTATATTTGACGACAAACAATTTGCTTGCCTTTCAAAAAGCCAGCTTTGAATAGTTTCTTGGCAGTATCGCGGACGAGCAACACTCGTTTCGGTATCACCTAGTATGGATATCGAGGCCTCCAAACAGGGATCTCAGAAGTAGATCTTTGATATCATTTTTGAGGTCCGTACTCAAGGTACTAGTACCAAATGGAGAATTATTCACATCATGACAATGTCCAATAGCGACGTTGGCATATCATTTGATATTGACTTTAAAAAATGGAGGTGGGGCGGGGGGGGACCTACAGTAGGGGGAAGCTCGGCCACCCTCGCGTCAAGGCGACGCTCCGGGGCTTCTTTGGCGCAGCAAGGCTGAACTGGCGTCCGCCCGCAAAGCGGCACGGGGGCGGCTGCCAACTGACCGCCCGTGGTGCCACAACGGCGATGCTGAAGGCAGCGCGAGCGAGGGAGGTGGACGGAGGCCGAGGGAGGGAGGGAGGGCGTCACAGCGCCTGCGGCGACACTCACGGCGGTCTGGCAGCTCTGGCCGAGCGGCGCCTTGCCGTCCTCCCCGCGCACGGCGCGCATCAGGCAGTGCAGCGTGCGGCCCTTGCGGTGCAGGCCCGAGCAGCGGGTGTCGATCTCGCCGCGGCAGCTGAGCATGATCTCGGGGCTCAGCGAGAAGTCCTCCATGAGCATCCTCCGGAAGTCGAGCATCTCGGCCTGGCAGTCGCTGCTCACCTGGCGCCCTGCGTCGATGGTCGGTCGTGGCAAAAGGGACGGAGACAACGGCGGCAATGAACACATGACGTAATTAATACAACGATAAGGGTCTCGCATCACAGGCCTTGTCAACCATTCCATTGTCCTGCTGCTGTGTAGCCATGGGGACTCCATGGCGACAGCTGTCCCTGCACGGCACGAAGGGAACGCAGCACAGGCCTGCAAGTGGGCATCAGTCCGCCAATAGGAGGCGATGTTGCTACGCGGCGTTTCACCGACTAAGACATACATGATCTAGTTCGGCAAATTTGTACCGTGGCGCTGGCATGACGGGTCTACTCTATTTATAGTTAACACACTCGCAATGTTGACCAGGGTGGCCACTGAACTTGAACGATGAATATTTGTGACAAGTGAAAAATGCTCTGCTGCTCAGCCATGACACTTAATCCACTTTAATGTCGAGGGGTCACGCGCTGCGGTCAGTTGCCAGCTGCTCGAAGCAGATGAAGATCCCCGTACAGACTCAACAAACTTAAATATAAATATCCAGATTCTGTTTGTAAGTACCAATAAAAGCCCAGGAGACAAGGGGGTGGGGGGCTAGCCTTTGCCTCCCTCGTGGTGATGTTTACACACCACACCAGGATACTCATTTGAAGCTGAGTCGACCTAGGGGAGGCCCAGCACTGGTTCAGACTGGTGTTGGCCGTGATCGGGAATCGAACTTGGCTCGCTGGGTTCGTAGCGCAGTGGCGCTAACTGCTGCGCCACTGCTCTCCTTAAGCAGCAGACACAAATCAATACCAATACAACCGCCATTTTCCACTAAGTGACGGTGACGTCACCACGGCGACCGTGCCAGGCCAGGTGCACTTTGAGGCCACGTGAAAAAGTTGAAGGCTCGCTGACAGGGGGTCACGGGACAGATCCAGGTGCCATGGATTGACTGAGATGACTGAGGATGACTGGGAGATGCACCAGCTGTGCTCCCTACTGTGCCAGACACAAAGACAAAGATCCCCCGTATAGCCTGAATAGACTGTTGGGGCAAGTGCTGTTATAGCGAGTACCTACAAAGGCCGGAACGGCGCACGAGGCGGTGGGTGGCCAGCAACACGGCCGGCCGCCGTTTCCCCATACACGCACGCGCACACAGACGCACGCACACACAATCGCTGCACGAAGACGACGCCACGAGCGTCGACCGGCCGGCACACAGAGCCCACGCACCTTTGTGCACCGCAGACTCGAGGCAGAGCAGCAAGTAGGAGAGGCGGGCCTCGCGAGCCCGCGGAAGGTTCTCCCCCGTGCAGCGGAACTTCTTGAGGTCGGCACGGCACGCCTTCGCCAGCGAGTAGCTCACCTTGTAGTCCTGCGTAATGAGCTTCTGGCGCATGGTGAGCGCCACTCGGCACTGCGACGCACAACAAGACAAAGATCTCCCCTGTAGCCTTCACACACTGTTGGGGCAAGTGCTGTTAGCAGCGAGCACCTACGTAGGCCGGCACAGCACGTGAGGGGGCGGGTGGAAATTCCACGATACTACGGCTGCAGTGAGTCGACCACCTCATACAGGACCCTACCGTCGAACCTCCCGGTTTCAACCTTCCACGCCGCCAATGGTTGACCAACCGCATCAGGACCGGGCACGGCCAATGCGGCCACCTGATGCACGAATGGCACCCATCAAAGATTCGGCGGTCCGCGAGCGGTGCGGCCACAAATCCCAAACCATCGACCGCGTCGTAAAACACTCCGCTGCTGCCGCTGCCCCCCATCCACTCTGCTCCGAAAAGACAACCGAGTGGATAACAAATCTGCAGCGGCATCTTCAATCTGCTGCTATTAGTCCACACGAAAGGTGGCAAATACAAACTTCCCGCACGGTGTGTGTGTAGTCGCGAGCTCTGCTCCGAAGGAAGGGTCACCACGGGATTTATCGCCTTCCCGTTTTTTGGCGAGTGCCAGAAGTGCCCAGAGTCTCGTCAGCCAAGCCTTCTCACTTGCCACGCTTCGCGTAAACTCCGCGTGGGTTTTACACAGGCACGATAATCTGCGCTTAAGTTCACGGATACAAGCGGACCGCTGGCAGCGAGCGGTATTTATTGAACAAACATCGCACGCTCACTTTTATACTGAGAAGGACCTTACCCTTGCCAAAGGGGAACAACGGGTCTGTCAGCTCTCACCTCTCTTTTGGCATAAATGTCATTCCTATCTTAAGGACAAGCCACTGGTCAATTACTACAAGGTGTTATTCATTTTAGAGACCCTAAAAAAAACACATCATGATGAAGCGTGCCAGTAGTTCGCGCGCTGCAATATGAACGCGGCGATTTCAGTTTGATTCCTTCTGATGCAGAAAAGGCAAGATCTGAAGCAGTCCTGGGCCTCCCTTCACCAAACAGCATGGATCAGCATGGTGAAGTCTGGTCAACCAACCCCTCCAAGACCGACATGGTGTGGGGGTGGACTTTCATCCAACAGTGGATCGATCAAGGCCAGTAAACTAACGAATATTGATCCGGCCGAGTTGGTTTCCCCAGTGGGATTTTAGCTCGCAACCTTCTGAGGGCGAGTGGCGCACTCGGACTGTTGCAGCGCGACTCTGGTCACCCCGATCCCTCACTCCTTCTCTCTGTTTAACCCTCTGGCCAGTGGCAATTGAGTGGCTCAAACTCTCTCCATCAGTCCGATCTTGAGCATTCTGCTCAATTTCACTCTCCACCCTTCCCCCATTTTCCAGGGCCTCCGTGCCAACCAGGGGAACTGCTCGGCAGGGTTGAGGCGTGTGCAGCGGGAGGCCCCTGGGAGAGACCAGACGGCCGGGCCGACCCCCCCAGGGGCCACCCAAGCCAGGGCGAGGCAGACGGCAGGGGGATTAAGGCGATCACGCACGGCCGCGCTCACGCGATCGGTGAAGCACGCTCACCCCGGTGGGTAATTTCGGCGAGTTTGGGGCAGAGGGCGCGTGCGGCGAATGTAAAAGCAGTGTCAGCACACCGAGGCGTGCCCTTGCGTTAACCCCTCCCCTTGCAGCCAGCCAGAGAACGGGGGAATGTCAAACACCGTGCCAAAGGGCGTCATTACGAGGACAAGGGAGGCACACTTGAAAACGAGGAATGGGATGTCCACTCCAATTCGAGGCTTCAGTTAAGACAATCTGCAGATAAAAATTCTGGAATGCATTAAAAACATTTCTAAATGCGTAAGGCTCATTTTCACCCTACTGACCATCTGACATCGCACCCAGCAAGGCTAAGACTCTTTTATGAATTCCAGATGGCCAAAACATCGTTCTTTCAGCCTATTAAGCGAAAGAACATACACACACACGCTATGCGACCTGGCCAAACAAGCCAATGCTGAAAAATGTACAGCAAATTGGCAGGTCACATGTGGCGAGGTATAATAATCGTCTGGTCAGCATGGAAGAGGAGACCAAATACCCTCTCTAGAGCAACCTCGAGCCGAGGTCCCTTCCCACCAGCAGAAGGGCCTCCTGCTGCCTTCAGCTTTTGGGAACCGATTTAAAGCGGAGCCACGCGGTGCCGTACCGTGGCTGCCGGCAACCAACCGGTCACCAGCGCCGCGCGCCCAGAGCCGCGTGTTCGTTACCGTCGGTCCACTCACGATCGCCGATTTCCCCAACTTTCGGAATCGATATATTCGGTTCTGAAATTTTTTACCGGCGTACTGATCATCGTTTAAAAACCACGGTTCCTAAATAGGGAGTTGGAGTGATTCAATGTGCTCACACACACACACAGAAAGACAGTGTCGGGGTGTATCTCGTGATTAGTAATGGTCGTTTTGTCAACGAGTAATTAACATCTCTGTCAGCCTAACACTGGACGAGAGCATCACCGCGCGTGGCCATGTGGCACCGCGACGGTCAGCCCGGCTTGGTGACGGCGCGGAGAACGGACGAGGGAGCATCCGTCTCGGGCACCTGTGCTCAAACACCAGTGAGTTCTTTTCATCTAGAACCAACATGGCCCGTTACCTTGTCGGTCATGTCATCCTCAAACTTGTGGTTGAAGAGACACTTGTAGACGCGGCCCTCCCCGGCGGTGACCTGCAACGGCAGCGGCAGGGAGGAAACGTTAGCACCGGGGCAACGAGCTCGGTGGACTCGTGTGGGCGAGCGGGCGGGCGAGCGGGCGAGCCCTTGCAGCAGGCACACAGAGAAGCAGCGGTGAAGGTGCCAGGGTGATCCGTATACAGGCGTCTCAAATTCTAGAGCAATTAAACATGTTTTCAAAGCCACATTACACGCATCTCCCACCAATCTTATTAAGCCCTCCAGCACTTTCCTCTAAGACTTTAAAGCCATCGCTTTTGCAATGTTCTATCTCCTGTTGAGGACAAAGTTAAGAAGGGGCATTAAAAATCAGCGGGGTCTCTATGAATAGATCGCCCTGGACATCCAAGTACAAGACCATGTGGATCTGATACGATGTACGTGACGTTGAAAATCTATTCCCGCGCCCACGATAAGTGCGCCGAAATGCGTGTCCGAAACAAACGATTTACAAGTGAAGGACAATGCACGCCTATTATTAAACCTTAAACACTCGGATATGCACGGGGTGCAGTGGTGGCACAGTTTAGTGTGGACTTAAATGAACACAACAAGCGTCATATGCTGGCATTGACGGTTGAGATGAGATCACCGACCCGCTCTGCTGGAGAACCTGCTTTCATCACGGGTGGCTGAAACCCGGATCTGAACCAGGATCCCGGCAGTGCCGGGGCTTAGTCCTCCCGCCCACTGTTGGCCTCCTAAGCTGCCAATCCACCTCCAAGTGCATCGTGTTATTTGGGCAAGAAACGCTGCAGCGATTCATCAAATTAATTACATTCCAATGCTCACCATTACATGGGTCCAATCACACACTCGATGATTGATTATTTTCTTTTGGCATATGTTGCATGCATTAATTAATTTGATCCCTGGTAGTGGCGGCGTTGAGTGGTGGCGGCGGCGTTAAGTGGTGGCGGTGGTGCCGAGTGGTGGTGGTGCCGAGTGGTGGTGGCGGTGGTGCCGAGTGGTGGTGGCGGTGGTGCCGAGTGGTGGTGGCGGTGGTGCCGAGTGGTGGTGGCGGTGGTGCCGAGTGGTGGCGGTGGTGCCGAGTGGTGGCGGTGGTGCCAAGTGGTGGTGCGGAACGGGAGGGTGCTCCGACCTTCTCGCAGAAGCGCTCGCGGTCGCTGTGGCAGGCGAAGTAGAGCTGCCGGTCGAGGTGGAAGTCGTCCGACGAGAGCTCGGCGACGCGCAGGATCGACTTCTTGCACTCCTCCTGGAGATGCGGACCCTGGTTCTGCTCGTTCTCGTCCGTCAGGGCCTTCTCCAGGCAGCTCACGACGGCGCCCTGCGAGTGGAGGTCCTGCGGCCGAGCCGAGGGAGGAGATGCTCGGCGACAACTCCCAACGGCTCCGACGGTGCCCCACACCGAATCGTCTCCCGGCTCAAACGAGTGAAGCGATTTCTCGCCACCGGCTGAGCTTTGGTTATTTTTAGAGCCGCAGCAATTGACGACGGCGATGATAGATTCATATCTGGACGAGTGCTTCGATGAATAAATTAACGGAATAAAAATAGCATATTTGCATTCAATAAATTACCACGCATTGTACTCCAAACGTGCGGTTTAATGGCACCGGTATTCACGGCACCGCTCGGCAGGCAGAGCAGCGGTAACCCCGTTCCTTATGCTTCAAGGCTCACGGCAGCGACTCAAATAAATTCCAGTGCATTAGCACGACAACGTCTCCCCATTATGCGAGCAATTACGTCGGCCGCATCCTCTCGGCAGCAGTCACAGCCCATTAATCCGAGCCGCCACGTGCGCACGTGGCCCCGGCGTGCCGCTCGTAGCGGCGGCGCTACGCGTCGTGCGCTCGCTCAAACAGCACCCGCTGGCGCCAGCTGACATTCTCCGTCTGCTGCTAGACGGCGGCATCTCGGGGGAAGAGACGGAATCATCAACGGCAGTGTTGTCAGCCGTGATCAATCCACTGCTGGATGAAGACCTTCCCCCCAGCCGTCGCCATCTCTCGCGGTCCTGCGATGGCGGCAACCCACCTCGCGCCCACACACGAGACGATTTCATTGCTCCATCTCTGCGGTGGACGTACGCGCGTGCGTGCTCCCTCCAACGGCTCCCACTCTGAAATTACCCTCGATTATCGGCCATCATCATCCCTTCTCCCAACGTGTCCTGCCCAAGCACACTTTTCTTAAGGCGGATTTATTTAAAAATATATACAAAAGGAACGACACCCACGCTCATCAATTGCAGCCGTGATTCATTCCACTCCAACACTTGCTCTTACCCACAATGTTCCATATTCCCTTTAGTTTAAATGATCCCCTCTACTCTGGCTGTCATTTCATCTTGGGCTTTGTGCAGGGGAGGGAACTTAAGACTCATCCCAGAGATCGTCCCAACCCCCCCCACCCGCGTAAGTCACAGATTCAGGTGGCTTTGTTTTTCCGTCAATTGTCCATCCACCAAAGCTCGACCACGGCCAAATCGAATGCCCCCCACCCCAACATGTCCTACTCGATGAGGATGACACTTCCTGGGGCATCAACAGTGGTTCTCTCACAGTGTGACCGGCTTGTGTACCCCCCTCCCTCCACTCTAGGAAACTTGAAATTTCCACTGCAGGTTCAAGACCACCACCACCAGGCAGATGAGACCCATCCTGCGTTCAGACCCCCCGGTTTTGTGCAATTAAGTGAGCAGCCATAGAATTTGCCGGTAATTAAGCAACAAATCGTTCACTCGTACTCCACGCGAGTTCGAGCGGCCGACACGCCGCGGGGCTGAGTACATCATTCCAGAAATACATCATAGAATACATATATATAGGGGGCAATGGTGTGGAGGATTACAACTCATTGCCAAAGCGGAGGGGGGCAGATAGCACTGATCTGTACAACCAAATGAAACATCACTGATGGAGACATGTTTATTTATAGAGACCCTCGGGGCTGTTACTCGGATAAATAACCGACCTAAATACCGAATGTTTCTGGATTCCAAGAACATCCATGAAGAGACAAACGTCACCCAATTGGGCGCGCATGCAAGCAGAACTTTGCACCGTAGAGCCAACCGTGATAATTGGCGGCGCTAATGGGAGGTGCATGAACTATTTCCAATATCGCCTCACATTTTTGTGTCATGTATAATACACATATATATCCAGAGCTGCCAGATGGCGGTACAATAATAGACGATTGAATCAGAGTGCTTAGTGTCACCCCGCGGTATGTGCCATATTCTCAGAGGTGTCAGATTTCATCCCCACAAGCCAAACACTCAGTTCAAGGATTGGCCAAGCATCCGATTGTCGGAGCCTCCTCCTGCAATACGAACACGACAAAGCAAACCTTTCCTGGATATACAAAGGGCATCGTTTGTTATTCATTGTGTATAAATAGTAAATATATAACAATGATAAGTAACCACTAGGTTTGCATTTCCCATCGTGTTAGAACGTGACATGTTTATCACCGAAAGGCCCTGGCACGGTCCTGAGTCTAGCCGCCCCACACACTGCAGTCAATAGAAACGGCTCGGCTGTTACTGGGAACACGCAAGGACGGTTTCACAACGCTCGCCCTCAACTCGGTGCGTTCGCGTCTTGAGACCGACTCACGTGCACAGCACGGACTTCACACATCAGATACCTGCCGAGGACAAAGTGCCAGGGCCATGACCCGGCATCTCAAGCGTACCTTGCGACATGCATATACACCTACTATGAAACATAGACACTTAAAACGAAAAAACGACTCGCGTTCTTCACCAACACTGGCTGAATTAATAAAATGTATATACATTTTGATTTAAAGCTTTCGTGACTGCAGGGATTCATAAAAGTGGCAGTTTGTCCTGGACAAACCGGCACTTTTTTCAAATTTTCTTGCTGTGGATTTCACACCTGATGATGATTGCTTGTATTGCAGTCGAAACGTGAGAATTTGTATTGTTTTATATTTATATTATTTTATTATTTCCCTTCTACGTGACTTTACCGAAAAAACCAAGAAAATGTATATATATATCAGGCAATGTGTTGGGCAATGGCATTTCTTCACAGCGCATAGCAAGGCCAGAGCGGCAGAGTAGATGCGAGTTAGAGACTGCGCTTTATATGTACCATGGGGCCTGATAAGAATCTAAATGTATAAAACGTTTCCTGATAATGCTCTTTAAACTAACAGTCATACCCATTGAGTGAAAGCTCAATCTAACTTTCTATACGGGAAACGCTCTCTCGGGGAAACGCTCTCTCGGGGACCGGTAGAGTTGAACTTTCGATGTGGAAAAACACTGGGACCAGGGAACAGTGCACCCAAAGAATAATCATTTGGGATTTTTTTTTTTATGAATGGGGCATGTGAAACAGATCAAAACTCACCAAGTGACACTAGACTGGGGATTTCACGGCACCAAGATGTTGTGCCATTCCGTAGTGTGTGTGTTACATCCCTGGAATGCTGAGATTGTAAAAGTGAAATTGAACAGCTTCGTAGTTTGGTTGTAAACTACATGATTAAAATAACATTAAATCACACTTGTTTGGTTAAACTTTACATTCCAATTTCATCGTTTCAGTGGCCTGCCTGCCAAGAAATGTAATGCAACTGCAGATGCAGCTTGTTGAGATACTGGTACATTATTTTTATAAATCCAAATTGTATTTTATATTTAGGCCAAAACACTAATTCCAAGTTAATTAATTTCCACGGGCATCCCAGCCAATTTAATTTGAAGCATAGTCACGAGATTGTGAAAGATCAAATGGGAATACTCATCCAAGCCGGCCACCTGTACCACGTATGCTTGCAGACTTGAGAGTGCTTTTGATAACTTACCAAACATGTTCAATCAAGCGTGCCACATTGGGCATCTGGCTACGCCAATAAGAGGATATTTGTTATCCGTGAACAGGCTGAGATTAGACGAGGGAATGGTGACGTATCTAAAGGGAGCAGAAATAAGAGCTCAGTAAATATAATAATGTGCGACACCCCCTTTGACATTCACAGACTGGGGGAGCCACCCAGACCTGGTAAAGATTTCTCGCGTGGCAGGTTCAAAGTGCGAAGTCATAATCACTGCTTCACAAGCCCCGGCCGGACACAGGCAATCAAACTCTCTACGCTAAACATCAACCAGGGGCAGTGCAAAGTACAGCACCGACACGTGTTACACGCCACCTTGAGTTTAACACGTAGTAGTAGTAGGCTTTCGCGACCAATATTACTCGTAATAAAGGTTATTTGGTTTGATAGCATAAATATAAATGTGTCGTTAACCCACCACCACCCGACGCAGCCAATTAGTAAGCTTTGGCACGTAAACAAAACGTGCCAATTAGTTACGACTGCAGCGCAGCGGGTGTGTCATGCAATTCACGGTGCACAGCTGTGCACGTTTATATTATCTCCAACGTGTAAATGAAGCATTAATAAACTGGGTCAAACACCCCAATGTAGGAGGGATGCTTGAACTGGTGCAACTGCGGTTAGGACCAATGTACGTTTCAATCCTAGACGTCTCCAGTTTGGTCCGATCTCCCAGCGTGCCAGTTGACACAATGGCTGAGTGTCTGAAATGCACTCCCCGCCCCCGCGCTGTCCACCCAGCAGTGTCGTTTGGTTTAAAATAAAGAGTCCAGCGACTCGGCGCGTCTTTCATGCATAAAGCCAACAGTGTTTCCCAACTCCATAGAGCAATGGGGATGGCGCTCATTTCCGGCGGCAGCCCCTAAAAAGCCAGTGGTGGGTAGTCCACAACGCCACGACTCTTGGGCCAGCTTCCCCATACGCGGGTAGAGCAGAGTTGGTCAGCGAGTGGCCTCCTAGCCCTGTTATTTTTTTGTTACATTTCGCCTCTCGCTACCTCTTCCGCAGTCTTCCTCCGCTTCAATCGGTCCCCACAATAATAATAAAATAATACAGTTGCGCATCGTGTCCAACGGTTGTTTTCAGGTGCACTTTCTAGACTTTTTGTACGTGCAGTACAAACAGTGCGAACACATCGCGTTTGTTTCAAGAAGACCGCTCACAGCCTGTGTTCATCTTGCGGACTTGAACTTCAGCACAGCTTAAAGCCCTTGCGTAAAAACCACACTATTTACACAAAACCCGGCACGGCACCACTGTTAAAATGTGGAAAGCGAGCGTGCGGGTTCACACTTCCATTCGGCCAAGCGCACACACATGATCCTCTTACCAAAAATCCCCACACATCCTAATGTCTCGGTGCACAAAATGCACAAAAATGTTTATGTCTCTCCCTCAATTCCTCAAGTTAATTTAATGGCCGAGAAACGTTAATTTTTCTGCGTGTTTTGGCAATCTGTTTTGACAAACGATCGCTGGATTTTGCATTTGGTTGGGTTCCACTGGAATGTTTCATGCTATGGATAGGCCCTAAAGCGAAGGGGTGTACTGCAGTGACAATGTGAGCGAGAGGTTCATATTGGGAGGGAAGAGAGAGGATTAATTGTCGACCGTGCTTGCTGGTGAGAATGAATTGCCGGTAATCACAACCGAGGCCAGGAGCGAACGTGGGTCAGGACTGCTGTGAACAGGGAACATGGGCAGAGGTCAGTGATGGCGCCACTGAGATTATTCCTAGTTTAAGCCACCTGCGATTAAACTGGGTTTCTCCAAGTGTAGAAGTGTGTGACGAGATGATGATCTAACTGCGGTGAACCTATTTATAGCGTTGGATGAACAGAAACGGTTGGAGGGGGGGGGATTTACAAAACTTGCGCAACTCAAGTGCGGGGTTTTTTCCGGGTTTCGCCGCCAACATTTCCTCTCCGGAAATTTCGCCACGCACGGCTGGGAGGCCATCCTCAACAGCCGAATCGAGTCATCACTGCTCTCCTCGCAATCTTCGTCACGTCAATCATGCCCCGATTGATCATTCGGTGTGGAATGCATTCACGATTGCTGCGGTCCCCCGTCTCCTACAAACACCTCACACTCCGTGTCTTGTTTGAACCCAGGTTGGCTCTTTTAAATGAGTCGCACTCGCCCAAGGTTTAGATCTTGATCCAGGCTATGCGCATCGAGAACCGATTTTCGGCAAGATTGAAGCCATCTTCAAAAGCAAAATGTGGAGGAGAGCTTTGCTTCTAAGGAGATCGTTTGTGGCGTAGCTCATTTATACTTCTGGATGGACAGAGGCAAGGGGATTTGAGAAACTGAACCGATTGTTTTCAATCGCCAAGCCAGGAGACCGAGTCAAACCGGCGATCTCTTGATTGTGCTAACCATCACACCACAGCAAGTGCCGCACTCTCAGTTAAGATGGTAAAACTATGTTTATTGTTCGACATTTCTATAAAGGTGGCGAACAAATAACCATTATTATTATTGACGCACTGCGGTAAAGTGATAAATAATAGATGACAGCTAAACATTGTCAAACGTAATCCATGCCCGTGTTGATTCTTCACTTAATTAATTTTTGCTTTCCAGCCACCACCACGCCTCCACATGGAGAGTCGGGTTAGGGTGGGGGAGGGGGGGGAGAAAGAGGGGGGGGTGGGGGGCTTGGCCCACGGAGCCTGGTGGGTCATCGAGCAAGGAAACGCGGAAGATCTGGGCCAGAATAACTGGGACCGGACTGGGAGGGCAGAGTCTGGTTCCCAGCCATCATTGACACGGGGGGCGAGCGGTCAGGGCGATGATTGGCAGAGAGAATGCGTTCGTAGCTACGAGTGTGTGGGCTAGTGGTGAGAATTTTAACTCTCTCTGCATTATTTATGCGGCGGGCTCTGCGGGGAAACTGCGTGCAGTACGGAATGCCAACGTCGCCCAGTGGGTGGCGACAGGCAAAAAGCTATGGCTACGATTGCGGCTATAACTGTGGTTAACGGTGAGAATGAACCGGTGGTCACGATCGTGGTTGTTGCTTCGGCTCGGTTCGCCCGCACCTCGTCACATTCACTTGAGGCGTGCGTCAGTACCGCGCGCAGCGGGGGGGGGGCGCCCGCGTAACGCAACGCGTCGTCAGCGGCGGTCACCTTGGGGTCGGCTCCGATGCGTCCGCACTGCAGCCGGTTGATGTCCTGCTTGCAGTTCTCCACGAAGCCGCAGATCATGCGGTAGTCGCTGAACACGATGCTCGTCATGCGCGTCACAAACTGGTGGCACTGGTAGTCGGTGATGTTGGGCCGGTTGTCGATGAGGCACGAGATAAGGTAGCCCTTGCCACGCTCCTGGCCCTGGCACTCCTTGAGCTGCGGGTCACACGCGCACACACACGCGCACGCACACACACACACACACACATACGCGCACACACACACACACGCGCACACACGCACACGCGCCACGCGGTTAGCCCTACGGACGAGCGCTGCTCGCGAGCGCCGGTTGACGTCGCCCTCGGCACGCGAGCCGAGAGGCGGTGGGTGGCGTGGGGATCGCGATGTTCATGCCCCGTTGCCTCTGTCTCCACCCTGATGATGTTCAAGCACCGTGCGATTCAAAGCTGAATGCATAACAATGCATTTCATTTATTTATTTACACAGGAAAGCCAAACGGAGTCCGCAGACCCTTGTTAAGGAGGGGTCCCTGCTACATCGGGATGGTCGATCAATGGCAGTTAAGAGTGTTTTTAGCTAGGAAAAAAAAAAACAGAGAACCCAGAACCCAGAGAAAACCCAAATATACAGGAGAGGGGGAGAACTTCACACAGAAAGGCACCCCAGTCGGGAGTCGAACCCAGGCCCTTCTTGCTTTGAGGCCCAAGTGTAACCACCCTGAACCAGAGCAGGCCGAGGGACACCATTCACCATTGATGTGCACCGTCGAGGAATTGAACCCGCGCGTCTCCAGGATCACAGCACAGTGCAGCATTAAAAACACTGCCATACAGAGCGAGAGACAGGGAAACGCACAAAGACCTCCTGTGTAGCCTTATTGACCACGCAGGTAAGTGCTGTTAGCAAGTACCTATAAAGACCGCTACTCTACACAATGGCATTTTGTGTTAAGCGTGCGCACACAAATACACCAAGGCAGCGGAAGAAAAATGGTAATTTACAAAATGATGATTCAAAGGAAAAATGGGACCTAACCCACAATGCAAGCAGAGTCAACACCAATTTCCCAGAGCCTGCTGTGACTGCTGCAGTGAAAATGCTTAAACCACACTTGCATTCAACAGATGCGCCTGGCTTCTTGAATCTCTGAAAGTGGAGCCGAGCCCACGGTAATAGAGAAAGGTGGTGTGTGTGTGTGGGGACTATTACGCGTGCTTAACCAGGCAAGAGGATTGTAATGACCTGCTGTGGGGGATTTAATCCGCCGTGGTTAAGGTCAAACTTTATTGACTACAGAGCGCCGTGAGATTCGCAATGTTCACAGAGAATTGTCATCGCACCCCAGCTATCCACTGCTGTTGGGCGCTGGGAGTTGTTTTAACCATACTTCACCACTCTGGTCCGTGTGGATGGGGAATCAGAGAGGGCCCAGAACCGGTTTAGATAAAACTCACAAACGATGCGAGTCGTGCATCGGGAACTGAACTCGGATTGGTAAATTCATAGCGCAGGACGCTATATCCACTGTGCCACCTGATTCAGGCTATTTCAACTAAGTCTTAAAACAGCCCGAGGATGTCGCATCTACGTTTTCGTTTTCCTTCCCCCGCAACTCCGATTAGGATGGTTGCTACGTATGGTGCGAAAGAAGTACAACATGACGCACCTACATCGCAGCTGGCCAGCCTGCAGCACACCATGGTGTGAACATTATCACAATTGGATGGGAAAAAAATTCCAATCCTGGTCTGATCAATTCTACATCCCTCGAGGTGCAGAAAAAAAATAGCTACCACCGTGTGGAAAGTCAAAAGTGGCTTTAATACATAGAGACTGCCCCCACCCCCCAAAAGCTGCTGCCCCAACCCCCCCTGCAATTAAAATGCAGAATTTCCACCACGGGCTCAGGGACAGCCCCCTCCCCCCATTGCTCGTCACTTTGACTCGCCTTGATAAACGATGATGTATCACGCAGGCACGACAATCAAGTCGCTTCACGCGAGAACCCGGTGCAATCACCACCAGGGCCTGCCCTGGTTTGAACCCAACAGCTCGGTGCTGCGACGCGCGTTATGAGCCTCCGGAGAGGGGACACCCACAGCCATCTCTCATGTCGCCACCGCTGCTTAAAAAATACACATGCGCAGAGGGTAGAGTGCTCACTAAAGTGTAACCAATATCCATTTCTCCACCCCACGGTTTCTCGTTTCTCCCAGACGCACAGATCGAGAGAGAACAGCTTCTAGCGCCGAATAATATTACCGCATGTTGGGGCGCAAAGCGCACCTGGTCAGACGGATCGTTTATAACCGGTTTTGGCACGAACGAGCAGCCAATGAACGGCGGGTTGAACTGGTATTTTCACGCACGAAACAAAGTGCTCAGACTTCCACGTGGCCGGGAATGTCCGGTTGGTGCTGTTACCCTCACAGCTGATGAAGCGCGCATAACCAACTAGGCCGCGCGTAACCAATTAGGCGTGCCACTCCTGTGGGAGAGACAATAGTTTGCTCCCTCCCCCGACAGACTGTCATCCCTGGCAACGTACGTATGGACTGTATGTTGAACTTCTGTCGCACCGTACGTAGCCAAACACGTTAATCGTTGGTCACGTATGGTGTTCGCTCGCTGTCGCGTGCGCCGTGCTACGCCTCCGCGGAAACCAAGGCACGCGCTCGCACGCCCGGCGTGGCCGGGCCTAAATCATGCGTCGTTAAAAGAGCGGCGGCCGCGACGGGGAACGCCCGCAGCGGTCGGGGGGAAAACGAACACCGCCTTCCAATTTGCGTCCGCGGATTGCGGCGTCGCGTGCACCAAGCGCACCGGCCAGGCAAATCGGCGGCGTGACCGACGAGCAGCGGCAATGAAAACGGGAGGGAGGTCCGTTGGCCGTGCGAGCAGCAAAAAGGTAAAACCGTCGCGAGCGGCTGCCAAATGTCCGTCGTGTAAACGTCCGAGTAGGGCGGTACGGGGGGGGGGGGGGGGGGGGGGGGTTTCACAAAGGGCAACAGGTTCGGCACAAACCCTCAACCCCTCGGAGATCCTTTGGCGAGTTAAGTATACGAGCCTGATATTAATTCTGATTATTTTGTTTGTGTATTCCAGAATATTCCAGTAAGGACAATGTGCGCATGTCTACAAAAACATCGTCGGCGATGATCTTTCTGCGTGCCAGAAAACTTCCTCGAAGTCATTAATTACAAAGTGAATCTTAAACGGGTTCCCGACGCTACATCATAGACACGTCAGCCAGACAGCTTCATAGATCGTTGGGGCCAAGCGGTGTTTGCGAGCACCTCTTAAGGCGGACACATTACAGATGGTGTGGCCACCTCCACGGCTGGCCATGGCTGGCCGTGGAGGTGGCCACACCAACCCACTGTACCAGGAGCTGCTCATTTAAAGCTGACTCAACCATTGGGAAGGAGGCCCAAGAGGGGTTTTGGAGACCACGTTTCGCTGACGTTTGCCACGGCTGGGAATGTAACTCGGGTAGTAGATTTTCACACCCGGTGTTGACAACTATTGCACCACACCACCGCTCCCTTCCCCACAGACACAGGTTAAAGATAATTACTTGGCGAGTAACAATTATCCCCACGCTCAACCACAACATGAGGTCACGATTTATCTCAACAGTTTTACTAAGGGGAACTCCCCTTTGTAAAATGTTTACCGTTTTTTATGCATCGTTTCTATTTTCCTGTTTAAACATCCTCAATCGATCCACTCACCTAAATTTAATATTTGCACAATGTATTACTGTACTTGCATAAACACATTGTGCAAACAAATACACTGTGAACATTTTACATCTAGGTGATTCAACCGAATGTAGGATTCGTTAATGGATGGATTTAATGTATTATTTGTGTACATCGTTAAGAGAAGCTATTTTTATAATATGTTTTCCCCTTCTTTTTTTTACACGTGGTCTTATGCACGGATCACAAGTAGCAAAACAGGTTTTAATTAACAAATCTTAACTCGTCAAATAAGTCATTTCTAGCGGGGGTGGTGAAGTGTCTGGAGCGGCTACCAATAAGGCTGCTGCCATAGTAATGTGGAACTTCCACCGATGACTCCGGGCCGCAAAGAGAAGAGAGGGACAGCCCTCCGTTCGCTTCCGAGCGACAAGGCACTTTCACCTTGGATACACGTTCGGGTGAAAACCGACATACGCTTATGCGATTTACGATTAGTCGTCATTACGTTCGTCTTAAATTGCCAATGTTTTTTTCCCGGTTTGCGTCTCCTGTTTGTTTCGTGATGCCGTTAGGATGGCCCACGGGGGGGAGGGGGGGCCACTACTCCTGCCCCTCCCCCACCCTCCCAGTCACCCCTCCGGCCCTTTTTTCGGGGGAAACGCGCGGTAGGTACGGCTTGAAAATGCATCGGAGAGAATTTGACGTTGCCCGGCAGTTTCCGTCGAATCGCTTGCGACGAGCAATGCTTTGCGGTGAGCAGCGACGCCGCTTGCCACACACACGCATGTGCAGACTCGTTATTCACGCGGGGGCGGGTTTTGCCGTTGGGATGGAGGGAATTAGCCCACGCAAGCAAGCGCCTTTGTGATGCCACGTCGCCTTATCCCCGCTTAACTCCCTGATCTCGTCTTGACCATTACTTCACCTCCCGCGAGCTCCACTTTGCCAACAATGCCATTGCCGTTTGGCTGTCTTATTCTCTCTCGCCTTTCTAGGGACATTCTCTACGATGATAGCGGTGTCAACGACGTCAGTGATTTGCCCACACAAGCCTGAATGACTCATTACGTCTTTTTTTATTTTTCACAAAGGGACCGATATTAATTTATTCGATGAATTCCGTTGTAAAGACCGATCGGTGAGTGGGAGGAAACCGAGAGTGCCCGGACAAAACCCATTCATTCATACGAGGGGCTAACACGGAAAAGGTCCGCACGGACGGGTTCACTAACCCAACATAAGCGGTCCTGCCATCCGTCTCCTGGCGACCTCGTAACCCAGCAGGTTTGGGAGTTTCAGAAAAAAAGACTTGATTCTGTGTAGCACTGGCTGCGAGGGTGACACCCCCGCCACCGCAAGCGGGTAACGGGGAGTCACGCTTTGTCCCGTCCAGGCTGGCCTCGCCCCTTGCCGTCTGCATTCCCTCTATGTTAGCCTCTCAGATTACAGCGAATATGTGGACACTGTCGTGTGAGCGCGTTCTTTGTGCCAAATACTTCTGCATTTAAAATCGGTGGTTGTCGATAAGACCGCGTAGAAATGTGGATTTTTCACCGCCAGCTCGGGCTCGCAAGTAGAGAAGGGCACCGCCGCCCAACACATGCTACTAGATTGCCACTGCACAGATGTGGTTGTTTATTGTTGTTGTTGTATCATAACGAGTAGAGAATCCATCACTTGCAAAGGGAACATCAAAAGATTGCTGTCATTTTCAAGCTCTTCTCAAAATCCTGCCGTCCAAGTAGTCTGCTTTTTTCTTGCAATAAAATCCCAAGATAATATGCATTGAGATGTTCTATAATATTCTCAAGGATTTAAAGAATGTTGTGTCGAAAGAATGACATTAACAGGAGCACAAATTGAAAAGTTAGAGCGATTTTAAATGAACCGTGTCGGTCTCCTCTATTCGTTACTCCCGCTTCTTCCGTGTTGCTATCTTTCAACATTATTATTATTACGTCTTCCGATCTTGCTCGCCGGTTCAATGAAATTTTTATTTAATTTAAATAGAAATATCCCGTTTGGCTGGTTACAACACAAACGAGATTCGGTGGCAACTTCCCGCAGCTGCCACGAACAATCGAGTTCTTGTTGGGGTCGAGAGGAGCCCACCCAGCAGCCAGCGAGCCAACTCAAGGCGTAGTATAATTTTAGTAGTCGTAGTATGACAATTACTTGCAAGTCACAGATGTACCAACATTTCCATGCTTTTGTTCTACGCAAACCCCTGCACAAACCCTCCCTTCCAACGTAACCGTCGTCATATCAGCAGCCTTGGCCAGCGTGAACGCGAGTGACCGTTCACTTTTCTTCAGGCAGAGCCGCTGCCAATTACCGCACGAACAATTTAACTCATCATCCAGCTGCCGCACCGATCAAGATCCTCAAGCCCAAAGGCGTTCCCGTGACTGATTAGGCTGCTGCCAAATGTGCCAGATTTCTTAGAAAGTAATGGTGGGGGGGCGGGGAGTGGGGGGGGGGGGTCCTAATGGAGCCGAGCCTGCTCACTGGAGCCGAGCGTGCATCCCCCTTGACCCAGTGCGGGAGAGCATGGCGACACTCGCCCACTCGCTCTCTCCTCTTCTCAAGGTCAAACCACTGGACGCGCGTGTGCGTGCGTGCGCGCGAACACACACACCCATAACCTCGCGCGTATAAATCAGCACGCACCGCCAATTCCGGCTATCCTCCTGTATTTTCATTAGGGTGCCGCGACGCTGAAAGGAAGCGTTTTAGCGCGTTTGAAGAGACATGCTGTGCAACAAAAAAATATTGCCAATTTGCAATTGTGGGAGGACAAGGGCTGTGGTGAGGGTCACGATACTTATAGAACATCCCTTCAAAGGCAGAGTGTTTAAGTTAAGTTGATATTATTTCATGTTTGGACCTATTGTTAGGATGATATTATGAATGATTAAGAGGGTCTGATCCATTAAAATCCACAATTGTCAATGGTATGGGGGTCACACAATGTGAAGATTCACATTTGGGCCAGGGTTAAAGTAAGTGTGCTTTATTGCTATGGTTGTCATACAGTTAGGACATGGGAGTTTCAATCATATTGGTCGTAGTTGAGGTTATAGGAAGGTATTCTTTGGTTCTTTCGGTAAAGTCACGTATAAAGAAAAAATAATAAATTAAATAATAGCATACGACGTTTCGATTGCAACACAAGCAATCATCATCAGGTATAATGAAATAGCGACATAAAATCTAACCAGAAAAAATTATAGACAGACATATAAGCAGACAGATATCACCAAGATACACACAGCGGGCAACACAGGTACAGAGAGGGGTGATCGTCTCTGTGGGGTGGCCTTAAATAGACAGAGGGGGGCGGAGGCACCGAGAGGGAGGGGTTAGAGACAAAATTTACATGTCAATGAGTACAACAAAAAGGAGTGAGCAGGCTTAGGGGGAGAAAGAGACACACTAAAATTAAATAACCTAGCAAAGTATCGAAATGTTACGTAAAACGACACAGAGAGTCGGTCAACACACAAGCTCCAAAGTTAAGGTTATAGGAAGGTGTTTTCATACCCAAACAAACGTAAACAGCGCTCACTTCAACTGGAGGCCCCGCGTGGTGGGAATTCCACATTCATATGGTAGGTTTGTTTTTTCTCCACAGTACAACCATTTGTTGAGATGGCACACAGTGGATGGAGACTCCCAAGATTGGGATTTGAATTTGTGATTTTCCGATGGTGCGTACAGCGCTTCACCACAGTGCCATCTGACTGGATGCAATTAAGAAAATTAGGTAATATTAAGATAAGTGTCGTGGCTATAATGTATGTCGAACGTCTTTCGCACCGTACGTAGCCAGCCGTGCTAATATTATTGCCACAACATTTACATTTTAATCGGTGAATATTGCCTACTATGACACACGGTTCAGAAACATGGACATTGCCAGAGAAGACGGAAGAAAAGCTCAAGGAGACGTGCACAAAGATTCCCATACAAACATGTGCTTGGAATGCATGGATGTTGAACTTCCTTCGCACCGTACATAGCCAAACCGTGCTCATCAGGAGGTGCGGGAGTAACGCCGGGAGATGGGAAAAGAGGAGCGCGTGGATCGGAGAACGCACGCTGCAGCGGGCACGGCAAGGAAGAAGGGGACGTCGCTTACCTCCTGCAGGGCGGTCTTGCACACTTCCCCCGCCGCCACGTCAAACCGCTCGTCCGTCGTCAGGTTGTGCTTGTAATTCCACAGCAGCTGCAATAGACCCGGCGGGGCGCTTTAAAATGACAGATTCTCGCGCCGGGTCCTCAACAAAATGGCACACTTCCCCCCCTCCCGACAACTTCTCAATTCGCACCGTGTTCAGAGCTCCCTCCACCAAGACGTGTAGATGTGATTTTTAGTCTCATAAACTGTCAAAGCAAAGGGGTGTCAAGGCAAATGGCTGTCACAGTGAGCACGTTAGGCAACACGACGTGGCCATGTGGCCGGCACTCTTTGCTTTGAAACCTACATCTACTCATTGCCGATTTCCCCCCACCCCACCAGGAACGTATTTAATGCTGAATCGACCTAAGAGGACCAGGCCAGGTTCACATCCCAACTGCTAAGAGTTTCAACACGCAGGTTGGCACCACAATGCATAATGCAAGCGTGGCCCTGTGGGTAGACTGGCTTAGGAGCATTTCTTCACTCAAGCTTGCACCACACACTACTGCGGACATCACGCATGCTACCCTACGCTGGCTTGCCAGGAGATGGCAGTACAGCAGGTGGATTAAACTCCATCTGTTTCCATCTGTACGGGGATATGGTGTTGTACCATCCAATGAGAGGGTTTTCTCCCGGTGCTCCAATTTGCCCCCGGATGTATAAACACCCATTAATTGGCTGAATACACCTCACTACACGGAGAGTTGCAGATTTGGCTGCCTTCTCGCTTGTCCGTGGATCCTCACGCTTGTAAGGCACTCTGTCTCCTCTAAGGCAAGTGAAAACTGCTCATTACAAGTATAAAGACTATGATTATTATCATCTTCAACTCTGAAATTTCAACTCCTGAAGAAGCCCACAGCAGTGCCTGGTGAAAGCTTCAGAGACGATATCCTGAACATGTGGTCTAACTTGGACGAGCGTACATTAAGAACTGCTTCTGGTAACATTTTTAATGGATGAGAATCAACCCAGGAAAATGTACCTAAAATGTATTACATCTGCTCTGAAGCAATTATATACGCACAGTGCGCCATTTCATATGAAACCTATTTACAATCCATCTGCCAAACTGCAAGGATCTAACAAAAACTGCTGAGCACCGATTAAGGAAGGCATTAGACAATGTTCAACACCGGTGCGGTTTCATGCACGGATGTGCGGTGTGTTTTTTCCAGCGGTAACCCATGAAGAAGCACACTCGTTCTGCAAGCTGAGCCCACAGTGCATTCAATCGTGGCATGAATTTACCAAAAACCATTAATAAACACGTAGGCGGTTTACGTGTCCCCCAGGCATCACTGGGAAGAGGAAAAAACGTATAAATTATACAGCGAGTGAAGAGAAAAAAAACACCCGCTCAGTGTCAACACTCAAACCGCGAGCACAATTCATCGCTTAATTACTCTGTTGGAAAAAAATAGAACAATCTGAAACTCACAAAATCGTGAATTATTTTGAAAGAACACATTGTTTCTAGAGATTAATTTCCCAATACAGCAGCCATAGGGACTGCTAAAAAGTGGTGTAAGTAGAAAGTTATCTGACAGCAAGCCACGGCACATTGATTCGGCAGTGAAAGTTTGATCACAACCTACCATTATACCATTATTCTACCAAGCAGAAAAAAAGTATTTGCCCGACAAGAGCTTGACAAAATACATCATATCTACTCCGGAACTTGGGAGATGAGATATTATTGAATTATTTTGATCCTCCACAATTTTTCAGTGAACCACACACCACAACATCGCCTTACCACAGAGAGGCCACTCTTACATGGGTCATCATTATCATTCGGGCTCTTGAGCCAAAACCTTGGATAGTTGCCGGAACAAAACAGTAATGAATAATTAAATTAGATTTTTGTTGTTTACAAAATTCCCTGAAGGGCCACTTATATGTTTGAGTATTGTTGTAGCTCAACAGTGCACTTCGCCAAGTCCGCCTAGCAGCTATGACAACGAGACATTGTAAATGAGCAAGAAAACAAATCAAAAATAAAGAGTGTGCGACACTAAACTTGCATGTGTGTGTGTGTTTACGGTAGTGTGGGGAGCGGTAGTGTAGCGGTTAGCGCGCTGCCCTACGAACCTGGCGACCAGAGGTCGATTCCCACTCACGGCCAACACCAGTGACGATTATTTGAACCGGTGATGGGCCTCCCCGAGGTTGACTCAGCCTCAAATGAGTACCTGGTGCAGTGTGTAAATATTGCCACTGGGGACACAAAGGCAGTTGGGCATAGTGCTGGCCACCTACCCCCTCGTGTGCCGTTCTGGCCTTCATAAGGTGCTCACAAACAGCACTTGCTTCTACAGTCTGGTAAGGCTATACAGGGGATCTTTGTCTTTGTTTTTTGTGCTTGACCACGATCAGCAGGATCACACATACACTGGCCAATGTGGCTGCCGTGGCGTTCAGCAGGTCGGCAATTTCAACGAGCTGATTTGCCCACGAGGCTAAAAGGTTGGGTGGGACAGAAGATCACTGGCAAAGCCTGCAGATTCTTGGTTCAGAGAGGAGGAACTGTGATGGCTTTGTCGTGAATTCACACCAATTCCGGCGGTGGTGGAACTCATTCTTGAGAGATCCGATTGGCCAATGGCAGCGTCGCCCTCCCCTAAGGTCACACTGTTATTGACCAATGCGCTGAGTTCTCTAATTATTATTATTTTAGCTCGATGGTACACCAATATGCCCTGCTGGAAGGGCTGCATGGCAATGACACAGAAAAAGATGGAATCCTAAGACAGCTGACCTTTGCCAAAAGTTGTTCGACAAAGCACCTTTCGAGCAATGGGTTTTTGGCGAGGGAATCGGAAATATGGGCTGAGTTCATCAACTCGCTCCACTTGAGAACCCGACTGAAAAATCGGGGAAGGTGCCGGACACCCAGCTTTGCGGCGCAAACATTATCAGCAATGTCAACTCGAGGGCTTCGATCCGGCCACTGTGAACCTACAGATCCACTCTTTGGCAACCTCCTGCATTGTAAAACGTCAAACTGCAATGAGGGAGGACACCCGCAATGAGGGAGGACACCCGCAACTCGCGCAAGCAAGGAAACGCTCGACCCGCGAGTGGCCAACGTGACAATTCTCATGCAAGGAGCAATGCAAGGAACACTATACTTACGTGATGACAGTCCGGGGATATCTTATCATCCACCTGTGGGCAGAAAGATGGGGGGGGGGGGGGGGGGAGGGATAAGAATGAGTAACAACACGCAACCCATTTCTCCATCGCAGGTCGCGCATTACAGTGCCGACACCAAGAGCCGGCAAGCAGCAGGCGTTTAATAACGCGGAGAGCTCCCCGGTGTAAAGCGATGCAGACAGACGAGACAAGGCACGTCAATGTGCCTGCCAAGTGGACGGTATACAAGAGGCATGATGGGACCTGTGTCTTATGGTCTGCGAAACCACGGGGGCAGTTTAAGACAGACGACATCCCTGAATGACTCCCTGCAGCGACGAGAAAATTAGTATTTCCTGCGTTGGCCGTAACACAAAATTAGCCTCTCCCATGTGTCAAGCGAAGCGCTCCCCATGTCACAGGCAGCCAGCGAGCCGGTGGGTCAGTCGCTTTCCTTCCTAACGACCAAGTAAGCGGGCCCATGAGGAAAAACTTATTTTGCGAGGGAAACTGGGCTTTAAACAAAAAAACAAAAACACCAAGAAGGAATACGACGGAGAGCAAAGTGAGTACATGAGGGAGGCTGCAAGAATTTGGGTTTGTAAAGTGGCCACACACTGTGCCGCCAGTAGCTGTGCCGATTAGTGGGCAATTTACGGGGCGTGACTTTGCCTCGTGCCCGTTACGGGAAAGGAAAAGCATGCCCGCTTGGCTAATTCGCGGGCACCGACAAGTTGACGTGAATTCTCCTGGGGAGAACTGCAGACAGACGATTGAATCGTAACTGTGTAGGCACTCATGAACCGGTAACTGAGATGAGGTGGCATACGTACACCTGTGACCCAGCTTCCACGGGGAGGGGGGGGGGCCTGATGGCTCATTGTCGGCGAGATATCAAACCTGCGAGGCAATGAGGCGCCCAAGAGATGGCGGCAGTGTTATGCCGACTTGCTGTTTCTAACCTCGTTTCTGACGCACGTATCCGGCGAGCACACACATTTGGGCGCCATCGCCAAGTATACACACTCCATCAATGGACGAAATCACCAAGAATGCACCCAGTCTCATCAGATCCAGAAGCTAATCAACACTGAGCCTGGATGAGTGATCCACCATGCACTACAGATTGCTGCTGCTTTAGGCTTTAGTCTACAGGCCTACATGGTGGGCAGCAGAGGACAGTGCAGAACAATGCTTTGTTGGTATTCTTGGTTCTTTCGGTAAAGTCACGTAGGAGGGAAATAATAAAAGAAGAAATTTTTTTTAGTATTATTTTATTATTTCCCTTCTACGTGACTTTACCGAAAGAACCAAGAATATGAATCCCTGCAGTCACGAAAGCTTTAAATCAAAAGAATGCTTTGTTGGTCATTGTTGTACTTCCGCACTGCTGTGTGCCCATTGTTTGTGTGTTTCCCTGTCTTCACCAACCCACAACACCCGTCCAGCATGGTGAAGAACGGTCCCTCCGTGGCGTTGGGGACGCCGGCACCCGGCACTGGACAGGCGAGCGAGGGTGCACACGCACACTTAAATATGCACTCCATTCTCTTCTCAAACACAATCGCTCCTTGAGGAATTGATTTGAGTAAAGGCGCTCTATAAATATTAAATAAGATAAGATTTAAACATCCTCTTGCAGAACCCTCGTGAAAGAGAGCTCTATCTTCGAGTGAGGCTTTGCTGGGTAAAGGACTCCAAGTCAGTGTCTTCTTGTTCAAACAATCAAAATGGCAAGACTCCCGTTCTCACCGGCCAGCCCAGTGGTGGAAATTCAACATTCCTATGACGGGGGCCTTCAGATTTTCCCTCCGTATTACAAACACCGTTGACTTCTCAAAATGTGCGATTCCTTTTCAGCTCCACATTTTATTTCAAACTGTGCTCCTGGCGTCATGTCACGAGATGACATTTCATTTGGAATTCTCGCAGAACATGGCCACATGTTAGTGTCCCTTGGAAGGTGATGTTACAGAACTACTTCTTAAATCCCTTCCAAGTGACTTCCTATCCAAACTAGGGAGACACTGTACTCTCCTATGCTCCTTACTGTCGAGATAATCATCATAGGGCATTAAAACCTTTATTCCGATTCACACAGTTGGAGTTTTTGCTAAATTACGTTTAATAAGTTGGGTTTTTAGTGCTGCCACTGGTGGTCAGGATGAGGCCATGAACACACTAAACTTGAAAATCCGGTTTCATCACAGGTGGCTGTCCAGATCTGGACCCAGCGTCTCAGTCGTGTTGGCTCGGCTCTCGACCCAGAAGCCACCCGGGCACCTCGGAATGATGATGAGTTGAAGTTGGCCCCCCTGACACAACCATTTCAACAGTGAATCAACCACCCTACCCGAAAGCACCCACCTGGCTGGATAAAAGCTAACGTTCATAATAATATTATTATTATTCTAACTCGATTCTGTTTCTATGTGGCACCCTGAAGGCAACACCGGTGTGGTGTTGGTGCCGAACAAGGAGACTAAAGTGTGACTTTCCTTCCCCGACATTCATTTATTTGAGAGTCAAAAACCCTCCACCAGGGTTTCTGACCGTATGCGGGTAAGCATTTCTTCTTCATTCAAACGCGTATGCAAACAAGTCTGTTGCGGCTCATATTTACGTTTGATTTGTATTTCCTGCCGAGTACGTTTGCATCAAAAGCAACAGGCAGAGAAGTATTCAAAAGGCCCAAGTCCCCCTTCTCAAAAGGAGCACGTGGGGGCGGTGAACAGATGCATTTTCGGCCCGGAGCCAGTGGTAGAAAATTTCACATTTAAATGCCAGAAGCCAGTATAGAAAAACCACTGTTGACTTTCCAGAAAGTCGTGGGGTTACATTGAACATATCCCTATAAATCAAACACACCCGACATGACAACTCGGAAGCTAAGCAGGGTTTTGAGAGTTCGGTTTTTACTGGTACGGGAGATTGCTTAATCTCAAGCATTAAAGGCTTGGCATGCGAGGTGGCTGGGAGGTGGAAACATGGATTTAATGAATGTATCTGTGACCGTTACCACGTTGTTTGAATGTGTTCTCCAGTTTTCTCTCCCACGTGCCAAGGTCTCATGAATGGAATTGGCCAAATCTGCCAATGGCAGAACTCTCCCCTTAAAAAGTCTCAGCGAGGTTTATTCTGGATAAAGGGGCAACGTTGTTGATTATTAGTCATCATTTTGTCAACCTCGAAAGAATGACTGACTGTGCTGACATCACGGAATTTGAACTCAAAAGAATGTTTTGCTTTGTTGTTGTCATTGGGGTAGAGTGGCGGCACGGGGGGATTATCACACCGCCTTGTGAAGCACGAACCTGGTCACCCGAGTTTAATTCCAGTGCACGGCTAACATCAGCGGCAAGTAATATTATATTTTACATATTTATTTGTAAATTTCAACACCAACAACGCGTACAAGATAACGCAGAACTGGTGTACGCAGCGTCCAGCCGACCATCGCATAGATGACTAATATTAGAAGCCCATGGTTACGATATAGGAAACAGCTGGGAGGAGGACAGGGAAGCATAGACGATGGCAGGAGGTAGGAAGGGGGCGAAAAAGAAACGAGCGACGGGAAGAATATACAAGGGGTGAAAGGGTCCGACACGAAGCGAGCCAACAACAAAGGGAGACCAACCCGTCCCACAAACCATCAGCGGGCCCTGCGACAAGAGGCCCGAGATGCCCCCGAGAGGCGTTCTCGTGTATCAGATTCAGCCAGGGCTCTACCGTGGACAGGCTCACGAGTCTCACATTGCCTCGGCCGGAGGAGTCTAAAGGCACTAAGGGCAATTATCGATGGGAGTGCCACGTGAGGCTGAGATCGATAGGACGAATACCCGATAGGCACGTACGGACAGAAGAGAGCGCGGATGTCACTAATAGGTAATTGAGAAATTGGGTGATATGCTGCTACAGGGGTTTAAAACCTTTGGGCACAGCCAAACGACATGAAAGGAAAGGCCTGTATGGTTTGAGTGGAGCGATCAGGACAATGGGGGCTCCGTGGCAAGACGCGCCGCGCTCTGCGCGCTTCGTGTGCCTGATACGGGCTGTGGATGAGGCATAATTAAAATAATTATTAGTGCCCTCAATGCGTGGAATCCCACCTCTTGAGACCAGTCTGCCTCTTCAAAAGCCGAGTCCACACACAGTCATTCCACAGCCAAGTTGGCTGCACTATTTTCGTAGGGCTAGGAGTCTTTAAGACTGAACAGACATCATACGTTTTGGGGGGGGGGGGGGTAGCAGGGGGTTGGAGTCCACGGAGAATAATCCTGGGGGTGCCTTCAGTTACCTGCAAGCGAGGAGATAGCACTTATAATTTGGAGATGTCTAATAAAATAGGATTTAGGTACTTGACATTTCTCTTTAAGGGTCTCAAAAGAGAGCCACGACCCCAACCCCCGTGGGCCCCCCGGACGTGAGATCACAAATTCCCACGAGGAACAGTCGTTCCAGCGGGGGGCCACCCATGTGCCTCTTCTGAACGCGGGGGGGGGGGGGGGGTTCCCCACTCGATGTGAGAGGCAAGTAGTTGGCCAATCTCAGCCTGTCCCAGATTGTAAATAAATGGGACACACCGATGGACAGAAGGATTTCCTTAGAGGGGGGGGGGGGGGGGGGGGGGTTCCCCACTCGATGTGAGAGGCAAGTACTTGGCTAATTTTAGATTTAAAGCTTTCGTGACTGCAGGGATTCATCTTCTTGGTTCTTTCGGTAAAGTCACGTAGAAGGGAAGTAATAAAATAATAAAAATAAAACATAATAAAACAATTCTCACGACGTTTCGGCCACAACGCAAGCAGCCGTCCTCAGGTGAAAACCAGGTCCGTCGAGGCGACAGAGTCTGAATGAAACAGCACACGAGCTTGGAGCATATATATATAAGCTGGGCGCATTGACAAAGGAATTTGCATATCAAAAGGAATTTAGCATATTTATGGGAAATGCAGGAATGTGATTAGTACTGCATATGCATGTGCATTATGCAGGATTAATCCTGCATATGCATGTGCATTATGCAGGAT